GTAAAAGCCTCCGGAGGGTTCCGTCCCATGCAGTCCTTATCTGCTGAGGATGACAGGGCGAAGAAGAAAAAAGGCTTGAGGATATTCCAGTAGTCTCATTCTTGCTGAGAGTTTTGCCTCCAAGAAGCCTCCTGTTGTTCTAGAGGAAGAGAGGCGAGAAGGAGGAAGCTCCTGGGACTGTATGGACAATAAATTCCGTGTCCACCTCCCCCCAACCCCCATTTACTATTGTCTACTACTGCACCAAATGGGATGGAGACTTCCTATGTCATGCTTGGGTTCATGGCCCTGGCGTGATAGACAAAAAACAATCAATCTCAAATAACTACCATCATTAAAATGTGTTCCAGATGTATCATGTGTCCCCATTGTTGAACATCAAGGGATTTAGTGAGATTTCTGGTTGAAGAACTTCTGACACAAGACTGGGCTTCTACGGTGGATCCAAATGTATTTTAGTTAGTTAGTCTTTAACGTATATATATATAATTTCTCACTGTTGAAAAACACCCCCTGAATTGATCCCTTACAGGTAAAGTCTAATGTATTTTATTTGTCTGTGCCATGAAGCTCAATTGTTGTCATCTAAATAAATATATATATATCAATGAGCCACAAGTTGTCACCAGATATGTTACTTTATTATCCTATGAACACGGCCTCTTAGTTTATTTGAGTTATTCTCACCTAGAGTATCACTCTGCTGCAGGAAAAACACACTAAGCCACAAAACCTATTATTAATTCACCGCTGAAAGGAACAAATTCAAAATGTACTCCTGTTTCAGTAACATTTGATGGGCTTGTGTCCGAGACCTATAGAGACAGAAAGGATTGATATACCGACACACATGGTTGGTTATAGTGTCTTTGTGGGATTTTTTTATAATGTGTTTTGGTAAATAAGTGTAATGGGTGTCTGCAAGTTAATAGCTTGGCCTATCATACGCCGCTGTTACTGATTTTGAACCTTTTTGTGGACAATTTCCACCCTAAGTCCGTAATTAGAAACCCGATGCTTGTGAGCGCTGTGGAAACCGTGCTAATGCAAACTGAAATGAAAATACTTATTAATAATAGAGCAGTGAAAACCAGAAATAGCCAACTGCAGCCCGTAAAAATGAGCTCACTGCAAAGAACGGAGGCATGGGTTGGGTCTGAGAAAATCTGATAAATACAGATGTGACTGTGCGCTCACACATCACTCCACACCGTGCTCGCTTGCTCTTTGCCAGCGTGGTCAAACAGAAGGTTAACTAGCTCTGTGGTTCCTGTAATGTCAGAGTGAAATTGGAGAGCTTCTAATTTGACCAGAGATACCTTCCTCTGTCCATGTGTATGTGTGTGTGTGTATGAACATGCTCCAACCAAATGCAATTAGTGGAAACGCAATTAAGAAGCACGTCGCTGTTAATAGTAAAGAGACAATAAAACCTTCACAAGGAAAAAGGATACAAGAGAAAATAGACTAGAGACCAAAATAAAGCAACATTTGGATTTGTCATTAGTTAATTGCAAAGAAAGGATGAAGATGACAGTACGTGTTGCGTTAAAAGTAAAGGACACATGACATGGTTCTATATAAGAGTTGGTCAAGCCTTCCCGGTCTCCAATCCCCCCTGATTATCTGGTCCTGACTTCTCCTCTCAATCCCAGCAGCAGGCTGATTAGTCTGGCGCTCTGAAGCAGAACCAGGCAAACTGGGAGAGGCAGTGTATTGATTGTCACAGTGACCTTTCCTTCGCTGCTGTTCTGGAGATGGGGGGTCGCCATTCTTCAAGACTTCGGCTCAGCACCAGTCGGCGTGGTGAAAGGCACTGCTCTGCAGGCATTCAAAGCTCTCGCGTACTCAATGGTAATCATTTTGGTCTCAGCGGGGGGAGCATATGGTACACCAACCTTCATCTCGGGCCTCTTGAGTAGCGTTGGGATGATCATCATCATAACCCGCCATTATCGCAGGAATTACTGAGGCCTTTTTTGTATCATATCGAGACAATTCAATATTGAACCCACTTATTGAATCTGAATAAATTAATAACGTATGTGCAGGTGTGGTTTTCAACAAACTGAAGTGTTAACAAAAAAATTGTTTGTCTGCAGGCATCTTACTTTTATTTTATTCATGTTTTGTACATTGAATGAAAAAGGGGTTGAAGTCATACAAGATGTGATAAGAAACACATCACACTCACATCTCAATGCATCCAGGTAAATTATACCAACTTTGAAAGTTGGTATTGTATGGTAATGTATTAGAGAGAAAATAGGGGAAATGTGCAAGAGAGGAGTTAGAAGGGCCGACAGGCGATAGATTGTGTCGGGATTGGGCAAACCACGAGCCACGAGATCCAGATGGGACAGAAATGCAGAGGCATATGTGTTACACTGATACGAGCTGATAAATAAATATAATTTTAAAAAGGGGAAAAGTTGAAAAACCATGAACCATGAAGATGACCACTGATGCTCCTGACTAACATCCCCCTAAGCACAAACATAGCCTACAGCACACACACAGACAGCGTGTCGGGAAGGGTGGATGGACATACCAGCGCATAACCAACACGTCTCCCCCACCGCGGTGCATCGCAGGCCTGCCAGCAGGAGAGGAGCTACAGAGCAGCGTGACCTTTGTAGAAGGGAAGAGAGAAATGAAAGGATAAATGACCTCTAGCTGATGGTTCAGTTGACAGTGGAAGAACAACTCTAATTGCTATATTTATATTGCCAGTAACCGTAAAAGTAGAAAATACATTAAGAGTACAAAAAAGCAGGCAAGCAACCATACAGGTCATAACCTGCCCGGTAGAATTTGAAATACCTTTGAGGGAAGCATCCAATCTGCAGATGCTGAAGCTGCTCTTGTGTGCAAACAGTCAGTTTGCATTAACATTTTTTGGTGTTTTTTTACTCTCACTTGTCAACAGGTATAAAAGAGCTTCTGTGGAAGTCAAAGTCAACCCACATACACATTAACTGTGAGTTCATAGTTGAGCTTGTTTGAAAACTGATGATAAAAATAGCCAGGCAGCATAACCTGGTGGAATCAAATCATCCCCAAACGATCACGCCGCTCTGGCTTGGGAAGCCCCTTCTGTTTTACTCGTAGCTTCAGTCATGGAAACCACCTCAAAAAGGTTTCCATATCGCGGTGAATTATCTCCTCCCGGAGAGCAGAAGGTTGCGATAAAGAAAGGGTCTGTCTGCAAATTACTGGATCGACATCAGAGTTTCAGCTATTGCCGATGTGATGTGGTGCAGATGATCCAACTGCCGATTCAGCGGGTTTGGAAACCAGAAACCAAAGGCCTTCGATCCCCCGGCCTCCACGCTTCACTTTAATCCCCGACGACACCATGCACGCCAGACACACACAAGCCACCAACAAGGCTGTCTCCCACTCTCTTTGCCGGCAAACTATCGTCACTCTTAACCACACCTCCATCTCTAATTTAGCCAGAAACCTCATGACCGGTGCCAAGCGAGCGCCGCATCAGACGGTCCCTCGCGTAATCTCCAGAGTCGAGAGCTTGGATGAAGCTCAGTGTCAACATAACCTTACAATCAAGCTGCAGTCACGGTTCTCAGGGCATGAGGATGGAACCCAAATAACTGCAAATTATGATCAGACGTCATATGGGTTTCCGTGAATGAAGCCAATTCAAACTGACTGGCCAATCAGATATGTATAAAAAGGAAACACTTTCACTGGCATTTTTTTACTTCAAAAGTGATCAAAAGTACAAGGAGATTTGCATCTTTTCACCCCGAATCAGCTTTGGCGAGCTTGTCAATAACTTGCATTCACTGGCTTGCTATTTTATTGTACATTTTTTAATGCATAATTCTTCAACTGTATTCTCATGTGCAGATTAAACAAAAAACTAATAACGACCCCAATTATACCTGGAATGCATCATGTGTACGTTTTATCTAATCTTATGTTCAAACCAGATTCATGTGAGGCTATTGTACTACATTGACGCCATCTCTTGTGTTTGCAGACATTTTTTACATGCTTGTCTTTTCCAGACCAACATAATGGTCAAGTAAGTAAACATGCAATCTGATGTGATCCGTGCCAGGATTTCGGATGTCCATTTATCATCCATAAGACAAACACCATTTGCCTGCTTAAATGCTTTTCCTCGAAACACACATCTCTCCCAGAGAAGGGGCGAGTCTAAGAAAAATGTTGTTTTTACGCACATGCATGAGGACGACACAAGGTGGAAACTTTTGAAAAATGCATGACAGGAAAAGGAAATACATTAACTTTGAGATGGAAGACAAATGAAGAAAAGTAAGAACGAAAGTTTTGGGAGCACGCAATGGTGGGGAAAAAGTGAACCTTTCAAGAGTTACTTTGAAAATGAAATAGGAATTGGTCACCAACCTAATTTTTCTAGCATTTAATGGACTAGGGAACGTGTGTTCTGCTCAAAATGCACTTTACTTTTATTGAGGGCAATGGCAGTATGTGTAAACCGTAGACTAGCTACGAACGTCACATCACGGCTGCACTGACCACATAAGTTCAATTTAATATTCTCATTCCTGGTGTATTTCTTTTGCATTTTCTACTCGTTATTGCTTACGTGTGTACATAAACATGCTCCTGAAGCAATAATATTTTCCCCCTTGGGGGATTAATGAAGTAGCGCTCTTTAATCGAGTTTGTGAGGGTTCAATCTGGGGCCAGCAAAGTCCTTGTCGTTTTTGGAAAGAAAAAAAAGAAAAAAAAACATGAAATCTAGAGATCTTTAGCATTTGCAAAGTGTGTGTATGTAGGGGAGTTAAAGCAACCTTTTGAGCGTTTTTGTTCGAATGGAAAAAAGAATTTAAAAAAATGTAAAAAAAGATTCCCCATTTCAATGTGTGCAACAGTTTATGTTGGCCAAAGATATTGTGGTGCAACATGTGGATGAGACGAACTGTGGATGAAGGGTGACACTTAGTGGTGATCATGCAAACAGCATCTATGACACCACCCCAATCTGAGAGGAAACTTTGATCAGTTTATTATTTTCTTTGGAAAGAGTTCGGTTACATACTCGTACCAGGATACGGCAACGAAATTTAAACACTTGGAGAGTTCATCTGAAATTTTACAACCAGAGAAAATGTGCAAAAATTGATAGTTAACACTTGCTTATTTTCCCAGTTAGGACTTAAATGTCCTTCACGGCATGAAAGATGCACATAATTTTCTTAAAAGCGCAATACGTCAATAGAACTCGATTTGGTTTCTACAAAGATAACCTGGCAAAATAATGGCAAAGGAGAAGTCCTGTTGAAGAAACCGCACAAATCATGAGTGGTGATGTTAGCAAGCAAAATAAAGACCAGGCCAAATAAACTCGAGAGAGAGAGGATGTTCCACAAAAGACTCAAGTAATGGTCCTCTTTGTTTTGGAGTTGCTAAACAATACAACATTTAATTGATTGTATTGCATTTCCACAAAGAAATTTAACAAGGTTAAAAACCACAAGTGAAAAAAAGAAGTGTCATATTTGCCCTTTTTAAATAAACTTCCCAAAAAAAAAAAAAAAGAAAAACACCAATTTCATCCCCGTGTGTGCAATTCTACTTGTGATAGAATACTTTGAATGGGGTTACAAAACAACAACATATCATACCTAGAGTGTCCCTCTGCTTTAACTTACTCAGTGTGGCACAGTTTAGAACTAATTCTGTCATATCTGTCCCATTTAATAAACCACCCTTCATTGTGCATTATATATACATTTCCATTGTTCCCAGTTACTTGAACCATAGTACACATTATTCAGCTCCCGTGGAGCTTCGTGAAGGCATAAACAAACATTGCAATAAAAATGTATGACTGATCAAAAAAATATTTGAGAAGTGCACATAATGTCATTGTAAAATACACATTTAAATTGAGTTTGTAATTTCCCAGCCAGGCCATTTAGTGGCTATAAATGTGCAAGGAGTTATACCAGTCTTCGTGGAAGACCTTACTTTGGAAGCACATCACGTAACATCTTGTCACTGCGCTACATCCAAACAAAATCTCGCTGTTGCATTATAAGAAAAATGCATTATTAAAAATGTAACAAATCGCACACTAAAATATTCTGTAAACTGTATTATTAACAGTCCATGAGGTACCTTTGGAAAAAACGTGGGGAAAATGACTTGTTCTGGTGGGCGGTTGCTACGCTAAGAGCCCTGGCCTTCAACGAGATCCTCGTCTTCCTCTTCTTTTTCAACAGCCTCTTGCACTAAGACCTCTTCAGCAACATCCACTCCTATCCGACTCACCAACCTGAAAATGTGGAGAAACAGGCATTATGAAGGTACATATCCGTCAATCTGTGAGCACACAGCTCACAGGGGGCCTCATAGTCATAAAGATACCCGCCTCTGTAGCTTTGTGTTACTACAACTACTCTGCCTGTCACAGAAGCAGCGCATGTGACCGAAGAAGTCACCCACAGTTTCACACTCCACCCCCACCTGACTTACTTGGCGGCACTACAGTGTAACCAAGCAAATGCAAGAACACAGCGTACCGCAGTCTAGAATCATTTTGTATGACTTCCATTTCTACGAATTTTCTATTTTTGAAGTTAAGCAAATTTGTGAAGGTGTAAAACTAAAAAACAAGAAAGTTGTTGGTGAATTCAAGTCAATCCAATTGTGTACAGCTCTACACGTGACAGCCGTCACCAACTACCCTTTTTTAAAATTCTATAACAAATAACTTTGCATTCTCTCTGAACACCTTGTGCCGTTTGATTGCAGGCTTTATTCACGTTAAAATACTCGTGCAGCCTTTTACTGTCATTTGGAAAGATGTCAAACTTACCCCACAAAAAGCAATGGGATGGTGCAGAGTCCTGCAGCCAAGAGGAAGGGGAAGCCAGGGTACCACTCCAGCGTAGCGGAATAGATGCTGTTGAAAACTGCGGTTGCTACATTAGTAGTCACATTTTCCAGGAAGGAAATGGCTGCAAACAGGGCTCCTGCAAAAGAAAAAGAAAAGAAAAAAAATCAGACCCAGAACTAGTTTTAAAAAATGAAAAAAACTGTTACAACAATTTATTGTCAAGATTTGAATTCGCTCAGAGGAACCGAAACTTCGGTTGCTTGGTTTTCAAGTGCATCTTGAAATTGTTGGGATACGCAACTAGTCAGTGGACCCGGACTCTACAGTCACGACTCGGTGACTCTTGCAGAGAACTAAGCGCACTCACCCTGCTCAGACTTTGAGACGATCTTCGACAACATGGCGCGCAGAACGGGGAAAGGCATCATGGCCAGAAGCATTGGCCCCCTCACTGTGGTCAAGAAATATCAGGACACACACACACACTTTTGTTCATATCATAATTCAAAATTGAACTACATAAAGTTGTAAAATGCACAAAATTAAGGTAAATTTAATTTGTTTTTGTTAAAAAAAAAAAAAAAAGACATCGGCAAATATGGCAAAAAAAATATTTAAAAATAAATATAATATATATATAAATCTTTGCCACATATAAATAGAAAAGGAAGTGATAACACATCATAATTATTGCGCTTCATCTGCATGCAATACAAACACATGTTTTGTCAAACAACCTGTGCAAAAGGAAGTGAATGCACTTTTTAGTTCACATTATGCACTAAATGTCAGTTATGTTTAATATAATATGTCAAGTAAAACACTTTCATGTCATTATAGTAAAAGGGCTGCATAACATAGATGCATACGATGTTTAGCTATACAAAAAAGGCATGTCAGTTCAAGTTTCAAAAGCTATCATTTTTGTTTTGGGCAGCAGAATTATTGTGGAAGTTTTTCCTCACCCATGAACATCAGTAGAGTCGTCTTGGCAAAGGCCAACAGGATCAAGCCGGACATGGCGGACAGGATCCCTAGCACGACGATGACCAGCTGTGGCACACGGCAGCACGTGAACACCGTCAGTCCTAAAAAACTGGTAATGAACGCTGTGGTGGAAAGTGCGCTGCCATAGCCGATCAAAATCTCATTCCAGCAGAGTGGCTTATTCAGCTCATAGAGCGTCACCAGGGGAAGCGCACCGATATAGGCGATGGCGAAACTGATGAAGACGATTGTTAGGAGGACCAATATTTTCCGAGCCCTGCGGCTGGCCCTTGTAAACATGTCGTAGACCCCATAGAAAATTTGCTTCCCGCCCGAGCGCCGAGGAGACCCATTTAAAAGATCAGAGTCGGTGGGAGCCGCCGTCACCGTCTCTTTCAGGACGAAAACTGCATAGAGAAGGTTGAAAAACTGCAATATCGCCGAGGTCAGGAAAGGCCAGTTAAAGCCTGCAGCTTTCAGAAAGTAGCCTGTGCATATGGCAGCCACCCCAGAAGTCAGGCCAATCATCGTTTCCACTCCCCCCATGCGCAGAGTCTTCTCGCGGTCACCCTTAGTCAAGTCCGCTATGTAGGCAAAAACGCCACCGAGAAATGTGCCCAAGCCGCCAAACAGGGAACTACTGAACGAGACGAGGATCAGCAAGTAGATGTTTAACTCAAAGTAGGACACAGTGAGTAAGCCCAGGGTGTATATTAAGCTGCCAATCAAAGGCATGATGATTGCAATCTTGCGTCCTCCCCGGTCACTATAGGTCACGAGCAAGAGCGTGACAATCAAAGAGGGGATGGTGGAGGCGATCACTGTGTAAGTGGAGAAGCGAGCTGCCAGCCTTTGTACCGCCTGAAAACAGAAAGAAAAAAAGCATGGTTAAGGTTTAAAATTGTATGAGGCCTGGCATCGTACTGTCTGCAGACCTAAAAGGAAAAAACTATAAACTTGAAGTTTCCAATTATCCAGCAAATGAAAAATCATACAAAGATTGACAAGGAAAGCGCTGCCATCTGTTCATCATGTTTCAAGTTCTCTTTCTAAGGGCCAAAGAAACCAAAGCGGGCTACGGTTCAACAGGTGCAGAAGTGGCTGGTTACCAAAATACGGGTTCAATGCATTTGTTCTCACATATCCGCTTTGTTTCGTTTTTGATATAAACATGCAACTAGATTTTTTTGCAGAAGAATATTTCTTCTGGTGGCAACTGCCGAGGTCTTACTTGCTGCGAATACTTGATTTGACTGTTAAGAATGAACACAGACAGAGAGAAATCCAATGAATCCATAAATCATTATGGTTTGTTAAATTCCAGGTCATGGTGGAAAGTCCAGCAAGTATTATTATATTATATGTATTATAACACACAAAAGGCCTCGCACAACAATTGCAGAGGTGGTGTCACACACTTTACACTGTAGGAGGCAGAAAACACAAGACAATGATGCGATGACATCTCCGTACTTCAAAATAAAATAAATCTATATGTTCAATATCAGTGAGAACAGACTTTTTACCTCGAGTACCTGAATAAGTGCACTCTTTCGTGGAGTGATTAGTGACTAACCTCATGGTAAATGGAATCGTTGCTGCTGCTGCTGCTGTTTGTGTTTATGTTTTCCATACATCTGGAGGTATTGTCAGAGATGGGATAAGGTGTCCCTGTCACCTCCACCCAGAACCTCCGGTACACATACTGCTGCGAGAGAGGAAAGGTGAGAAAAACGGCGAAAGCGTACAGCGCAACCAACGGCTCCACGAGGAAGATACGCTTCATCTTGAAAGGCTGCTGCAATATTCCCTAAAAGAATAGAAAGAAACATTTGCAGGTTAACTGTGCATGCCTGAACAGATATGAGAGGAATATTTGCATCACGTGTCAATGCATAATCACTTTTATAACAAAAGAAAAAAGGGAAACAAGTCAGTAACAACATTCCGTGTTACTGACTTGCAACAGTCAACACTTCGCTTGGAGTACGCAGGGAAGTGACACATTATTTTTCAATCTTATGTAAGTCAAGTCATAAAACAAAGTCCCCATGGCTGAGCGTATACCGGTTTGGTTGTTTGGTTGTTTTTAATCATCGATCATAGAGTTACGTTATCTGACGGACCGAAACGTTGGACGATGTTCCACAAGTTGTTTATGCCAATACTGCCGGTGGATGAGCCTGCTAGGCGGGTGTGAAGATAACACACACATGACACAGCAGCCCTGAACTTGACCTTATTATATTACAATTTGTTGAAAGGAACGTGCAGCATAACTCTTACCTCTTAAACAGATGCGTGGGTCATGTTTTGATTAAGCAATTAAATCCTGGTCGACATCGATGTATGAGTCGGGTTTTCTCCTATTAAAACTAAGAAGTGCACGGCGCTGAGGTCCAGTGTCATTGTTGTGAAACGCCGGCGTCCCGCCCTCTTTAATATACGATTGGACAGCAATCTGTTCAAGCTGTTTTGATTGGCTAGGTGGATCTATCAATCATGAGCAAGATCGGGCGAGAGCATTTTGTGACTGATTGAAACCAGGGTTTTTTTGCAAATTAACGTAACCTTTGTAAATCCCCCCGGAGGGATATTCACTTTATCCAGCCTGAAAGTGCCATATGTTATGTATTTATACATATTTACTATGCACAATTTTACCTCCGTATTTCCTGAACAAACGCGCATTTGAGGTAACGTCAAGTAGGCGTGTTTAGTGTTGGAATGTACCATTTTGCCAACCCACCGGGAAGAACCGTGTTGTGACAGCGGAGTATCAACCCGGCGGGGGCAGACGGTAAGACGAAATCCTCGCCTCCTTCCTCTACATGTATTTTCAATAGTGAGATTGCGCTGAAACGCAAATGTATGCTCAGGCCCACGCGTTACATGTTTCACATGACCCCGGTCGACAAACTCAGCGTATTAGCAGACGTGAGAGTGAGATTATCATACCGGACGTGCAGGTTTGTACCACCCTCATAATATCGTCAGTTAACGAATCATAGCTACCACTGTGATTAATTTGGCTATCGGAATTGGCTGGCATTAGATGGGTACCGGGCAGCTTCATCCGTTTATCACTCTCGTTTTCGTGAGTTGGTTTCTCCCTTCCTAAAACCTAGTTAGCCGCGAAGCTAACGTTAGACGTCAGGTGGACGTTAGCGTTAGCTTCGCCTCCTGCAGTTGCGTTATAAAGTCGTGACTGATCGGGTCCAGGATGGATGATATTTTGGTGCCCTGGCCTAACGTCATTTATTCTTCACGGTGTCCGTGCTGCTCTTATTCTCCGGCTACCAGCGAAATTCAGTCTAAAAGATGAACCTTAGTTTCTCTTACGTTTGGGCCTTTAACAATGCCCGGAACTGATAACATGTTAGGCTTCTGATTTCGCAATTAAAGATTTCACTATCACGTAATTTGGAATGTTGGCCAATAATACGAGACATTTCCGCAATGTGCGGAAAAATAATCAGAATGCCATGATTTCCACTGCAAATTTGTATTCACAGTTTATTATACAGCTAGTTATATTTAGGTTTTGATAGGTCTTAATTCAGTTCCAGCTGCACCGGATGTGTGTTTATATCACAGGTTGCCTCTTCATCAGAAATCAACACAACGTCACATGTTGAATCAGAGATGTTGTGTTTTAATCAGGAGCATCTCTTCTCTAAGATGCTCATTCACGTTCTTTTGGGTTTCTAGGTCGTACAGCAGTTCTTTCTTTCCATCTTGGATCAACGATGGCCTTCAGCAAGGGATATCGCATCTACCACAAGCTGGACCCCCCCCCCTACAGTGTCATAGTGGAAACCAGGAGCCGGGAAGAATGCCTCATGTTTGAATCCGGCGCCGTCGCCGTTCTGTGTAAGACGCCGCATTTTAAATTCTCCAAACCGTTGCCCCCCGAAATGCCAACGCTGCAGTTACGGCGTTAGGGGAATATAATTGAATAATTGTGTCACTGCGATTAAGTCACAGGCCGCAAAGAAGAGCGCTACCAACTTTTTTTTTTTCCTACGTTGCTGTTTTGTCTTCTAGCGGCGGCAGAGAAGGAGGCCATTAAAAACTCCTACGCCAAGATCCTCGATGCTTATGGCGTCCTGGGCGTCCTCCGCCTGAACCTGGGTAAGCCACGTGCACGTCCTTTCTGTTCATCGCTCCGCGTTGCAGACATTTCCTGGAGACAGTCCAGATTCTGGCCCCAGTGTGACTTTGGTTTGTCGCTCTGTTGCTTCTTACTTTTAAGCTGCTTTCTCCTGCCCCCCATATGACTTTGAAGGCCCTTGTTATCATAACAAGGGGCAAAAGCTGCATAAAACATTAAAGCTCGGTCTTAAAGATGGTTGAGATTTGGCTGGCTGGGGATTTCCTTTTAAAGGAGTGCCACCAAGCTTGAATGAACTGTTTAATGTTTTATTGTACCTCGTCTTCATTAACATACTACATGGCTTCTGTCCCTTTTCTTTACATTCCATCATACTTATTTTGATACCCCACTCACTTCTGCAGGGGACTCCATGCTCCACAGTCTGGTGGTTGTGACAGGATGCAGCTCTGTGGGGAAGGTGCAGGACTCTGAGGTTTTCAGGGTCACACAGACAGACTTTATATCCCTGAATAATGATCCAGGGGACGAAGACCGGATCGCTGAAGTGCGAAAGGTCTTGAACTCTGGACACTTCTACTTTGCCTGGTCTGCCACTGGTGTCAGCATGGACTTGAGTCTCAATGCACATCGCAGGATCCTAGAGGACACCACGGATAACCGCTTCTTTTGGTAAACACCTGAAAGGATTACTGTTGCTAGGTTATAGAGAGAATAGTGTGCATGTGTACGGCTTTAACTGGGTAATGACTTAATGGATGTTTTGAAGTCCAAACAGCTTCTCCTGGGCGCATAGCGAACGCTGAATGTGTGATATTGGGGCTGTAAGATCAATTGCAGTGTTGCTACAGAGTTTGGTTTGTGTGTTTACGGTTGTGTCTGTATTAACCAACAGGAACCAATCTCTGCACCTGCACCTGAAGCACTACGGAGTGAACTGCGACGACTGGCTCCTGAGGCTGATGTGTGGTGGTGTGGAGGTCAGGACCATCTATGCAGGCCACAAACAGGCCAAGGCCTGCATCTTCTCCCGCCTCAGCTCGGAGCGGGCCGGCACTCGATTCAACGTCCGAGGAACCAACGACGACGGACAGGTGGCCAACTTTGTGGAGACTGAACAGGTAACTCCGATTTTGGACCGTTGGAACCTCGGATCTCACCTCGGTTTGAGGTTTTAACTTGAAACCGTAGGTTTATCGATTTCTCTGCTTGGTCACATGACCCTGGCAATGGCTGTCTGTTTAAACAAAGGTTATCTATTGACTGGTGAGAACACCGGCTGGGAGTCCAACACTATCGCACTATTGTTAAATGAATTAGATTCATAGGTAACATTAAACCCTTCCAGGATGCTGATGATAATATATATCAGTACACTGATTTATTGTTCACTCGCAAGTCTTTTACTTTGCCATAGTTCAACTTATTTATTCAGGAAATGTCAGTCCGATCAGTATTTTGCTTAAAATTGCAGAGTCGGCACATTATCTAAAGACGTGAATATTTGACTATGCAAACGTACTTCCCGGCTCTTCATTGGGGGAATAGACTGGATTTGCATTGAGCCTTATAGTTTCTGTTTCAGGACACAACCCCCCCACATTTGTATTTGGAACTACTACAGTTATAATACGATGCAATGCAGTACAACGACACCTTTGTGACGTTAGCACAGTGCCTCAGATGTAGCATCTTTACATATGACAGAATTTCTCCCAGAGAAGAATTGAGCTTTTATCCCTCCACTATCTTTCTAACGGTTCGTGAAAGCTTTTTATAAATGTGTTTTTAATAAAGGGTTTTTGTGTCACTTTACAACGGAACTTAACCAATTTTTTCTCTTAAACAGGTTATTTTCCTGGATGACAAAGTCTCCTCCTTCATACAGATCCGTGGGTCCATTCCCCTTTTCTGGGAACAGCCAGGAATCCAGGTAATTGAAACTAAATCTATCCTATAAAGCCGGCATCGAAACGCGGCCGTGAGGATTTCTTCTATTAAGCCGCGTTATATGACGATCCTAAAGCAGCTCTCGGCTTTGTGGTCCGTGTGCCCGTTCTGTAAATGGTTGATATCAGGCACAACTCAATCAGGCACAGTAGATTGCACGCTACAAGTATAAACACCAAATACTGATTGGGCCTATGTCTTATCTGGCAAATTGATAGGAGAGAAAAAAAAAAGAAAATCCACTGTTTGGCATATGTGGGGAATGAAACACCTCCTTGTAATTACACAGGATATCTTTATCCTAGTTTTAACACATTTTGTCCATGCTGTGTTCAGAAAAAGTCCATTAAGGGTGTTTTGTTGCACCTGAATGAGAATCGACGCCCTAATGGGATGGATGAGAACCCCCACCTGGTATAACCTTTACTCTCTTTTTTTATTTCGGGCTCTTGCTGGTGCTGGCACTTTCATACTGCGGTAGGGCTTTCTCTGTGCAATGCCAGAGGCTTTTGGCGGCGGTAAAAACCAAGGCGATCCCAATCTGGATTTTCACCCCGGTCCCATACACAGTTCCTCTGCTGTGGAGACCATAAACCACATCAGTGGGATTGTCCTGCCGTTGTGGTGACATTGCACAGACTGGTGGATTATATGATCAGACGTGGGAGAGGTCCGCGATGGACACAGTGGTTGGTAAAGGGCCTTTTTCTGTTTTCCTCAGCTACCAAACTTCTTTGGTCAGGTGAGAGCCTGGTCTGAAAACATCCCATAACCACTTCCCATTCCCTTAAACTGCTGTTATTCTCCGGCAAACTGAATAGGTGGGATTTGACAATATGGAAAAAAATAAGCCAAATTTTCATTGAGGGCCAAAAGAAGCCAAGACCATATTAGTCACCTATTCAGTACTGGTTTGGTTTAAAAACTCAGGGTTGTGGGCTCAGGGTTGTTTTCAGACAAAACAGTTGTTTCTGCTTTTAGAGGACTTTTTTAGCTTTACTTAGGCTTATTTTCCCCTTTCCATACTCTTGATACTTATTTCCTTGTTAGGATGAATAGTCTCAGTTTCAACCAGAAGCAAAGATATTGAACTCTGCACGGTTAGTTTGCATTAGAAATAGTGGTTATTCACCCTACTGGAAAAGATGTAAATCATTAATGAGGTCGGTTGGCCGAGTAGTCTATTACAGCCCTTGTTAATGGCAAAATCTTAGTTCATCATTGTTGGAGGTCTGATCGGCATCACATTAGTACTCACAGACATGCTTTGCAAGATACGAAATATATAAAACATATAATCACTTAATGACTAATTTAGATATCTTATTAATTGGTCGATGAATGTCTAATATTAACAGTCAACCAAGGACAAACCTTGGAAGTGACATAACATTTGTAACCTTGAAATCTTGTGTGTGCATCTAGTGCTTCTAGTATCAGAGAGCTTTTTTTTACAAACCACTCTCATACAGGTTGTATGTGTTGAGTACTGTTGAGTTTGAGTAAGGTGTTGTAAGGTAGCCAGCGGTAACCTGAGTCCTTTCAAATGCCATACATGGAGGTTATTAAATATGCATAAGATATACCTGCACAACAGTAGAGTAAGTAAGGAGTGACAAAATGGCAGCAGCATGGAGCAAAATGTTTAGTCTTTCATGCCAAAAGACGTCCTCACCAAAAATGGGCACATGCAGACAATGTCCTGAGACGCAATGCAGTGTTAATAATAATAATAATAATAATCCTAGACTGGTTTGGACCCAGCGCGCGTGTGTGTTGCTGTGGCCTGAAATTGTGAGGCCAGTAGGAGAAAAGAGAGAGAGAGGCTGGATGCTGGATGCTGCAGGAGGGATGACGACCATCTGATCCAGTTATTTTATGTTAATGACCACTAGAGACAGAAAGACGAGATATCCTAAAAGGCAAAAGAAGATGAATGAATATACGGTCATGCAGCTTGCAGCGAGTATCCGCGTGACGCCGCCATGCGATGGTCCGACTCAGCCAGTCGGGGTGGGGTCACCATGCCTGCGTTTACCTCTCTAATGCCCTTTGCTGATTTTGAGTCAGCTGCAGTATACTTATATATTATATGCAGTATACGTATAGCAAGTACGTAGGCAGATGGCTAAAATATATATATATATATATACTTTATTTATTTTATTAAACATTGCTGTAAAGGTGACGGGCGACCACATCTCTCTGCTGCTCAGTGTCTTCGTACGAACAAATGTCTTTTTGCTAAAACCCCGCATTGCTGTTGTCCTTTGTGCTGTTGTCCATTCCTTTTTCCAAATTTGCTATCACAACTTCACTACAGTGTTTTCTGGTCATCTGCAAAGTTTTCCTTTTTGAAGGAGCTGATTTTAATTGAAGAAAGAGAACAACGTGACCCTTTTTTTTGTCTTTTCTGCCCGTCTCTGACCTGCAGGTCGGTTCTCATCGTGTCAAACTCTCGAGGGGATTCGAGGCAAATGCTCCAGCCTTCGAAAGGTAATTGAGATGTACTGTGTGTACACAAATGTTAATAACGTGTGGCGGTGTCCAGCTGCTTTATTCGGCCTTCAGCAGATTACAATTCTTCTTCTGAGGAGAGGAGAGCCCTTAATGCGTCGTCTCCTGCAGTCACCGCCCGAGGTGGAATGAGGAAAAGATCTTCAGACTTTTAAATGAGAAGTTGTTAATAGCAGAAGGTCTGCAGAGGCTCGAACAGACACATTCGTTGTCGCTGATCCGCCTGTGATCCTAATAACCCCCCAAAATTGTGTCCCTCGAAAATCCATTCTGAATGTTGGAGGAAGAAGCATTTGAGCGGGTCTGTGATTACTCATCTTATCTTTACTGGCAGTGAATTGAGGAGACCAGGTGGGCAGTGACAAATATGCCCCCTGAATTGGAACCATCTGAAATTTTATCCATCATGCAAAAAACAAACCGGCAAACATTTTTTTAATACTTTTCTGCTCACAAAGCTGTCAGTCTGATCACAAACAACTGATTGGCGGCCGTAGGACAAAACCTGTGTTTATTCCCCCCAAAAAATGTTTTAGCCAGATTCAGCGACCTTCACACTGAAGGACTGAGACCACAATGGGAATGATCTCTTATAATCACCGTGGCACACTTTGAGGGGACCCTGCCCGCCTCCACCCATCTCTCTTTGGTTATCAGTCTCAGCGCAGCCACGCTGTTCTTTCGTTTTCTAGATACCTTTTTCTCAGCATTGACCTAATTTTACCCTCAAGATGTTTAGGGACCTGAATGTATTGAGACGAGGATGTCTGATGGTACATCAGTTATATTTGGAAACAAAATCGTCATTGTTTCACACCAAGGAGTTGGAAATGCATCTAGTATTTCTCCAGATCGGCTGGGGAAAGTGACTCATCCTTTGTTGCAACTTGTCAGTTTCTAAATTGGCAAGATGTCTGTGTTGAATTTTTTTAGATTGTACAAAGCTAACAAGAATTCCTTTTTATAAACTGCTATTGTCTCTGCCACCGCCCAGCGGGGTGTATTTAGACAGGTGGCACCTGTTGTTCAAGTGTCTCCTTCCTAAAAATTTCCCTTCCTTTTGTACCTTAAGTCTTTACAACTCGACAAAAAAACCATCCCTATTTAAGTGCGTATTTGGATTAATCCTCATCATATACGTAGTTGGATTTCCTATTTTCGGGATCAGATGTAAAAAAGATACATCAAAATACAAATAAGAAGACTAATATCATAATTATGGAATAATATTTCCTTGGTTATCAATAATAATCCCTGTTTTTCTCCATGTATTAGTTTGCTGCACCATGCATCGTTTGTAACGTGCAAGCTTAAGCAGTGAGATTAGAATCTAAGAGTTTGAGTCTGTGACGTCATTTTAAACCGTGTCAATGCTTATTATGAGATTGTGTCTTTTTTGTCCAGGCACTTTACAGCACTGCGGAGGTTGTACGGCAAACAGGTGATCATCAACCTGCTCGGGGGTAAGGAAGGGGAACACATGCTCAGCAAAGCTTTTCAGGTAAGCGCGCCCATCATCTGTTCCCTGACACGGACCACGAGACCTCTGATAACTAAGGAGGCGTAATCTAAAGCACACTGGTGTGCATCAAAACCGATTCTTATCCCACTGAATGTACCCTGCACTCCTAAGTGGACCACAACACGTTTTCATACAGGTCAATTAAAGGTTTCCACTGAATGCAGGACATTGGTTTTTAATTTAATGAACACAGGCAACACATCTCGCATGCACCTTGAATTCACTTTTGCAGTCAGTTTTAAATTGCAGTGAACGAGTCTTCCTCCTCCCTCAGAGTCACCTGAAGGCATCAGAGCACACGGCGGCTGTGAAGATGGTGAACTTTGACTACCATCAAAATGTGAAGGGGGGCAAAGCAGACAAACTCCACAGTGTCCTCAAACCTTACCTCACCAAGTTCATCGACGAGTGTGGCTTCTTCTACTACTCTGGAGAGACCGGCATTGTGAGGTGAGGAATTAACACGAAAAAGTAGTTGTAAATGGAATTGTTTTTATTGATCCTTAACATTAACACATCCACATCTGTTTAGGACTCAGGGTGGGACCCTTAGGACCAACTGCCTGGACTGCTTGGATAGAACCAACAGTGTCCAGGCCTTCTTTGCACTGGAGGTAATAGTCGGACACATAAAATAGCGTCCATTGTTTTTAATGTTGATGCTCATGGTCTAAACCCGCGGCTCCTCACCAGATGCTGCCGAAGCAGCTGGAGGAAATGAGTCTCACAGAGAAGCCCCAGCTGGTGGCCAGGTTCCAGGAGGTCTTCAGGACCATGTGGTCTGCCAATGGGGACTCCGTCAGTAAGATCTACGCGGGGACCGGTGCCCTGGATGGCAAGGCCAAGGTACACACAAGTGGCACAACAAACACACACAAATAACAAGTTCGAAGGGATTGTTTGGTCTTTGTTGTAAAGGGTGGATATTTCGAGTAGAAGGTCTAGATAAACAGTGATACGGGATGAAGACTATTCCAACTGGAAACAAAAAAAGGAAACTTAGGCTAAAGAAAGTGTTACCTTTCAAATTTTTGTCTTAAACCGTAAATATTTCTTAAAATACTGCATAGTTGTTTATGCAGTGACAGAGTTGGTCTGTGTGTTTCCATTTCTAAACTCTTGTGTGATATCTCTTTCTGCTGTCCTGTGGACCTCTCTTCCTCTGTGGTAAGTTAACCAGGCAGTCCGTGTGGTTTTTGAGCTGTGGGACTATTTCTGGTGCATTATTCGTTTCAGTGTCTCTTGTTTAGATGATGATGGTGGTGATGATGATGATGTAGGATGGGATAGTTGGGACCTTTTTTTTGTGTATAAAAAAAACATGATTTTATTTCCCTTGAGGTATACAAGTGATGAATACTGTCTTGAACAGCCAACTCTCAAAAGCTCCAACTGACCAATAGAAATGAGTCAAAAAAAAGAGAACAAAGTAAAAACATTCAAGGCCCCCACTTGTTGAGAGAAATTTCTTTCACCACAGTATCATTCTCTATTGTTGCCTACATTATCTGGTTCCATATGCATCTTGATTGGAAGAACTCAGACGAATCAATGCAAATCATCAGCATGTTACGCATCTGTCAAGTTGTGAATCTTTTTCAAAAAATGACTTGGATCTGTCTCATGGGTTTCTCTTTTCCTCCGCGGTTTACAAACCGAGTGAGAGTCTAGCTAACGTCTTGGCGTTCTCCCTGTCCGTCTGTAGGCGGGGAAGCTAAAAGATGGCGCTCGCTCTGTGACCAGGACCATCCAGAACAACTTCTTTGACAGCTCCAAGCAGGAGGCCATCGACATCCTGAGGCTGGGCTCCACGCTCAACAGTGACTTGGCAGATAAGGCTCGGGCCTTGCTCACCACTTCCAGTCTTTATGGTAATTCTTTATAACGCATGATGTATTGTTTCATTGAGTCAACAGTTATTTACAACTTATGTTATTTTTCTATTTTATTCTTCTATCGCACCAAGTCAAATTCCTCTATGTGTAACATATGTGGCAATAAATGGCTTCTGATTCTGATTAGATATGCAAGCTGTTTTTTCTTTTTGCGTTTTTGCACCATACTACAGCATCTATATTTTGTAGTTTTAATAAAAATCTTTTCTACAGCTCCATCGTGGGGCAATTGTTTGAATATTCAGACAGTTCTGGAGGTGTCTATTGTAGGCCTGTCAGGCAGAAGCTTGTCAGCACGTTAGAAGTGTGTGGTGTAATCTCCGTGTGTCAGCTCTCTGTCCCAGTTAGATTAATGCTGACCGACTGCTCTGCTGGAATTATCTGTTAAAGCACTGGTTAACCCGCCCTTCTCTCCCTTCTCCCCCCCCAACCTGCTCACAATCTTAGTCACTGAGCCCATCTTACAATCAGGTATAGTAAATGACAGACTGGCCTCAGATGGATCTTTTCACCCCCTCAAATAGTTGTTGTATCATTTGTGTTTGCTACTCATTATTGTGCATTCATTTAAAAAACAATTTTGGTAGTGGTTTAACCATCATCGGGCTTTTCTAAAAGTGATTAAAAGAATGCTGAATTTTATTATATTTAGTAACCCTTTGAATGGAGATGTATGGACTGAAATGAACCATTACCAAATGAGTTAACTATTTGAATGTTCATCTGTATTTCAACAAGAGCTGTGGTTAGTGTCCATTATCCCATGACCCCTGTGTTAGGACCTTGTTTCCATCTTCCTGTGTCGTATTTGGACGTTCTCCCATTAGTTTTGATTAGATCTTTTCACCTTTTTTGTGATTAGTTTTCCTGTAGGCCTTCATTTTACACTCTAATTGTGCTTTCCTCCTTTTTATAGCCTCCCCAAGAGTATTGCTGGGAATGTGTCAGAACCACCATAAATACACAAGGCCCAAGCAGATCCGGGTGTGCGTCGGCACCTGGAATGTCAACGGGGGTAAACAATTTCGCAGCATTGCCTTCCGCAACCAGACTCTCAACGACTGGCTGTTGGACGCTCCAAAGAAGGCGGGGCATCCTGAGTTCCAGGGTATGTTGGGGTTTCTTCATCTAACAATCATGTATATAATATATATATTATATATAAATATAGCCAGCCGCTAGTTAGCATCTCTAAATTAAACTAAATGGTTAATAACAGTTGCCATTGTTGGAATTAAGAATTTGCTTGGAAGCATTTACTTGAATAATTAATCACAATACTGTAAATTATTATATTATAATTATTTTTATCAATGCTGAGTATTGCTTATTTTCACAGACAGCAAAGCAAACCCCATAGATATCTTTGCCATCGGTTTTGAGGAAATGGTCGAACTAAATGCTGGAAATATCGTCAGTGCCAGGTACGTGTCCAAGACCCCTTCCTCAGATAACGTGTGTGTGTGCGCGCGCGCGTGCTCTACACATCCTTATCATATTTAATTCAAAGTACATTCATAACCAGATGAACAATTTATATACAGAAGTAGTACTAAATCCTAAAAGGAAGTGGATCCTAAAGGTAACTTACTTGTCTTTCAATTCTTAAATTTGCTTTCGACAGAAAAGTATTAAGCTGAGCAGAACTGGGGAGGGACAGAGAAAATATTGCTCTTTGTGGGGGGTTTTCCCAACTATTTCTTCTTCTCCTACGGTTTTTGTCTCAGCACTACGAACCAGAAACTGTGGGCCGCTGAGCTACAAAAAAACATTCCGCGGGACCACAAGTATGTGCTGCTTGCTTTCAGAGCAGCTGGTGGGAGTGGTGTCTGGTTGTCTTCATCCGCTCGCAGCACGCGCCTTTCATCAGGTAGAAACCAAGAGAGCGGCAGAACAAGTCCCCCTCGGCAGGTGTAGTATGGATGTCGAGTTTCAGCTTACACCGCGCTACACCAAGGGGCGTCTGTAAAAGATACTTCAAATCAAAAAAACAAGGCGCCCACAAGCCACGACCGAAGTTGAGGCGTCCGGCCGCTCTTCCATTACTCCAGCATCAGCTTTCTCTTCTTTCTTGTTTATCTGTCGGCCACGTCACACCGTCACGGAGAGGAATGACGACTACAGCGAGATCACACGCAGACTCACCTTCCCCATGGTAAAAAAAAATACAAACAAACATTGTGCAGAACCCTTTTATTTCTTTGCATTACTGAAGGATAACCACATCCGTCTTCCTTCCGTCCTCGCCAGGGTCGTCTGCTGTACTCGCACGACTACGTTTTCTGGTGCGGGGACTTCAACTATCGAATCAGCATGCCCAACGAGGAAGTGAAAGAGCTGATCAAACAGCAGAACTGGGATGCCTTGACAGCTGGGGACCAGTTGTTGGACCAGAAGAATGCTGGTTTGGTATGGCCTGCAGTACCGTTGCATTCCTACAGTGATGATAACTTTCACTTCCTCCCTACAATGAAACCGTGTACCACAACCTTGAGCCTTTTTTATAGCGCGTACTGACGCAGACACGTCATCCACAGGTGTTCCGGGGTTTCATCGAGGGGAAGTTGGATTTTGCTCCCACCTATAAATATGACCTCTTCTCTGAAGATTATGACACCAGTGAGAAGTGCCGCACACCAGCCTGGACTGACCGCATCCTCTGGAAGAGGAGAAAGTGGAACTTTAACCAAACAGGTGAGACAAATATTTGTACAACATGCCAGTCCCCCTGCAACTGGCGCGTAAATGTCCTTCGAAATGAGTCTTCACCTAGTTTGGAGAGAAAGTGAATTAGTAACCAATAAAAGAATGGTACGTTAATGTTTTGCAGCTGAGGCGATGAATGTAGTAGGAGCAGCTTCTACATCTGGGGAGACCGACGACGATCCAGATAACCCCTGGAGCGCTGGCACTCTGAAGTACTATGGCAGGGCTGAGCTTAAGACCTCGGACCACAGGTAAATAACAAGATCCGCTTGTTTGAGTGACGTTTTTCACCACGACTAGCTGTATGATTTGCTTCCTTTCCTTCTAATGCCACATCTGGAACGCATTGATCTCGTACTGATAGAGAACAATGTTGCAATCAAATACATTTTCTTTTTAACGGAGCGTCCCCCATCCTCGATGTTTCCTCTCTTTTCTTTAGGCCCGTTGTTTCCATAATAGACGTGGACATCCTGGAGGTCGACCCGGAGGCGCGGCACCAGGTCTACAAGGAAGTCATTGCCCTGCAGGGGCCTCCGGACGGCACCATCCTGGTGTCGCTCTGCTCCTCCGGCCCGGACGACTACTTTGACGATGCTCTCATAGACGAGCTGCTGGACAAGTTTGCTCAATTCGGAGAGGTCATCCTCATCAGGTGCGTTCGATAGCCCGACACGGTCGGACATGTGCCCCCTTTGTACCTTTTGTTACGCGGCATTGACAATGTTGTTGTTCATGCAGGTTTGTCGAGGAGAAGATGTGGGTGACTTTCCTGGAAGGTTACTCTGCTCTCGCTGCGCTTTCTCTCAGCGCTTCCACTGTAAGTCACCACAGACCATATTAATGACGTCTGAGCTATACAACTGCTCCATAAGTCTTGAGCATATAAAATATACAGAATGCATATTTATAGGTATTGTATACCTTTCAACTACCTGTCTATGTCCCTTGGTTACATTGTAGGTCCTCGGCAAGATGCTCGACATCCGTCTGAAGAGTCCCGGCTGGATCAAGAGTCTGGAGGAGGAGATGAGTGTGGAGAGAATCTGTGGAAGCATCCCCACCTCTGCCAGCTCCACCCTGCTCGCCGAGGACACGGACATGGGCGATGATGATTATGACATGGAAGGTGAGGGACGACAGCCAATTGAGCCCAATCCTTATCTTCCGAAATCTGTGTTTATGAATCCGCATTTTTTTCTTATGTTTTTCTTATATAATTGACGGACATTGAACCGTGTGCAGAACCTTTCAATTATTTCAAATACGTGGATTCTCGCCTTCGATTCCCAGGGGATGTCGAAGACGAGGTGGAGGAGATCCTCCCCCAGCATCTTCAGCCTGGAGCCGGCTCGGGCCCTGGATCCTCCCCTCTGCCCTCCCCCCGCGGTAGTCCCTGTCCCTCCCCCACCCACGGAGAACCCGTGGCCCCCGGCAGGTCTGGTCGCGGAGGACAACCGTCCCGTCCATCACAAGGTATAAATAACATGAGCATCTTGGCGCACACCTGGAATCAGGTTGCTGAAAGCACAGTCCTTTTAATCCACTCGGGCTCCAGTCTCTGCCGGCCGGGATATAAACTATAATTCTGTTGTGTTTGTCTAAAGAAGATTTAAGCCCGTCACCAGTGAGGAGAGAATTTCCAGGTAAAATAACGTGTGGTGCTGTAATCTATGTGTAGAGTTAGAGCGCGTGTAGTGTGTCTTCCAGTAAACCACTTGTTTCTTTTTGGAACATTACGTTATGATGTGGTAATGAAATGTGTGCAGTGTTAGCTCCATCTCCGCGAGGAATTGGAACTTACAGGAAAAGAACATTTCCGTAGTGAGTGAATGTGCGAGTTCCTCAGTCAAAACTGTTTTGTTTTTTTTCCCCCTTTTAGGGCCTCCTGTTGACTTCCAGCCTGGTCCTCCCACATCTCTAGAGCCCAAACGCCCGCCCCCGCCTCGTCCCCACGCCCCCCCAGCCAGACCAGCACCTCCCCAGCGCCCACCGCCACCTTCAGGTAAAGCATTTACAACCTTGCCTGTCGTTGGTTAAAGCGCCAATTTTTTTTTAATAGATTTTAATCACAGAAGCAACCAAATCGCTTCCGCACTTGGATTCAGGTGTTAACATTTTCCCCTTTGTTCCGCTGCTTCGTCTCATTCCTGAAGGAGGCATGAGCCCTATGCCAGTTAGGAAGGGCTCTGCAGGTAAAGCGATCCGTATTAGCTGTGTGTTCATGTGCTTACAGGGCTAAAACATTAGCAAGTAGTGGCTGCTTTTTTCCATGCGACAGAGAAGCACGAAGCATTAGTGTTTTCCCTCCGTCACAATGCTCATTTCAGTTATGGATAGTTAGCTTGCAGATGATTGTGTGACGCTATCAAAAGAAAGTGTGATTATTCGGTGATCCATCAACATGTCACAAACCCTCTGCTTCACCTGACTGGCAGTACGCAACCCTGAGCTGCCCTTCTGTTGAGCTTGAGCTTATAAACAATTGATGTTCCCAAGATATCCACCAAAAAAAGGCCACGTGGCTGCTGAGTCTTGTTGGAATTATGACAACAACTCCTAACTAAATCAAGGTTTTTTTTCGAGTGCCAAATGCCCATTTGGCTCAAGTTCAAAATGCAGTGCTTCTTGTGCATGATCATAATCATTCCCCATAATATTTGGCTCTGATGAATGTAAATTCAGATGTGCCGTGTTTTTTCAATAATATTCTCCCCTGTGGTAGATTTTTGTAAAAGATGTGTGTAAAAGTGTCATTATTAACTAGCCCAGACGTTCTCCTCAATATTGTATTTTGTATTGTTGTGTTATTCACGCGGGAGTAGCTGGTAAGTCACAATGTGTCTTTTTGTATTAAAATACTCTTTCCCCTCTTTGACTTGAAGACTGTGGCGAGTTTCCCAGCCCACTGTTTGGTAGGAGAGGCAGTCAAGGTAACTGCCCAGGCGGTGGGTTTTAAGTATTAGCTGATCCCAGTAGTCCTACACCCAGTCATCAACGCTCTTTATAGACGTTGATGATTCAACTTTGACTGATTTATTTTTTTTGTCATTGTTGGGGGCCATCTTAGTTTTCTTATGTGTTTGGTAGCCTGTTTGGCTCATTTCACTGCGAAATAACCCAACTTTTGTTTTCATGTATGTATTTCCATTAAGTTGTGAAAGTAAGTGAGAGGGACGATCTACATCATTATAAGGGTACTTCAATCCCATTATATCCCATCTGGAGTCATGCAGGAGACCACCTGACTGAAATGTTGTCTTATAGTCAGGAGCTTTATACCTCACTCGTCATCGTCATCATGTTTTGAATGAATAATCATTTGGTGACCACAGCCTTTTGGTAACTGAAAAGGAAATTACATGAAATGGTCTTGAAGTGAACTTGGTCCTGTAATCCACTACGATTGGCGAGGACCCCCCCCCCCCCCCCCCACTTCCCCCTAAAGGCAAGGGGGGTGTTTAGACTTCACTGTTCTGCTGCATCACTACTGGCATTCTCTATTCCTGGTGCTTCCTGTAGCGTTACTTTAGAGTTTGTTGTCATTGGCAACGGTAGCTCCGTTTTATCGGTGTTCCAATCTGAGTCTAACACTAATGTGGTTCGGCCCCCTTTGTGCTGCGAAGGAGCAAAAAGCCCCGCTCTCCCTCGGCCAGATGCAGGTGAGTGCTGCAGAGCACGACGTAGCCTCGCTCGCTTAGCGTTTGTTCCAGCGGACGCTCGTCTTTGTGGGCGGATCCTTGCACTCGTTTGAGTGTGATACGAGGATGAGACTCGTCTACTCGGTCCACAGATAATAAACCCCAATGAAAATGTCTGATTCAATGTGAAGTGGAAATAGCCCATAGGGTTTATTTAGTCTTGTTTGAATTAAGACAACTGCTAGTTTAAGGTTTTTCAAGTGCTGAATGACCTTTGGGATCAAGTTCAAAATGCAGGATCATAATCACAATGTCACAATGTGTTTTTTTATGTATTAAAATACTCTTTCCCCTCTTTGACTTGAAGACTGGGGCGAGTTTCCCAGCCCACTGTTTGGTAGGAGAGGCAGTCACGGTAACTGGCCAGGCGGTGGGTTTTAAGTATTAGCTGATCCCAGTAGTCCTACACCCAGTCATCAACGCTCTTTATAGACGTTGATGATTCAACTTTGACCATCTTAGTCTTTGTCTGTAAGAGAGATGTGTTTGGTAGCCTGTTTGGCTGAATTCCCTGTGACATGACAACAATTTTCCAATGTTTTTTTTTTCTTCCTTTTTTCCTAGTACAGTACCAGTTAAAAGACACATTTTCTCATTGTGAGAAACTCTGTCCAAACTTTTCACTTTACATTATGGTGGGAAAGTAATTGAGAGGGAAGATATGCATCATTATAAGGGTTCTTAATCTGGAGTCATGCAGGAGACCCTCTGACTGAAATGTTGTCTCATAGTAGGGAGCTTTATACCTCACTCATCGTCATCATGTTTTGAATAAATGATTATGTGACCACGGCATTTTGATAACCGAGGAGATGATGTGAGTTAAATGAAAACTCCTTCGGTCCAGACATGAAATGGTCTTGCGTGCAGCTCGGATCAGTAATCCACTCTGATTAGAGAGGAACTGCTCTGAGCCAAGGGAGGATATTTAGACTTCACTGCTCTGCTGCATCACTACTGGGGGTCTTCTAATCCTGGTGCTTGCTGTTGCGTTACTTAAGAGTCTGTTGTCATTGGCACCGCTATAAACTTCGTTACCAGTATTCCACTATGTGTCTAACACCAATGTGTGTCGGCCCACTTTGTGCTGCAAAGGAGCAAAAAGCCCCGCTCTCCCTCGGCAGATGCAGGTGAGCAACGACGTAGCCTTGCTCGCTCGTCTTTATGGCAGCGGGTTTCCCTGTTTCGCATTAAGGAAATCGTGAAAGAAAGGGACACGTGTGTGTGTGTGTGTGTGTGTGTGTGCATTTGTGTGCGTGTGCTTGCAAGCTGTGTGCTCACAGAACAAAGCCTGCCTATCCTCCAGACCTCCTGCAGCTCAGGAATGACTCAGTCATCATTATTAATTCAGTGAGCAATGGGGGGGGCTAGGTTTGCAGTACTTGCGTAACTAAGACTACTAAACACTACCCTCATTATTTTTGCCTGAACCTCCCTCAAGAGCCCAGCCCACATTATAAATACAGAATAGTACGATGTCGTTACGTTTCTGAAGTAGCTGGTCCTTCTGCTTTCAGCTCGAGGTCAGGTGGCAGTGGGAGCTCCTGGACCTGGAGGTGCTCCCAGACCCGTGAGTTTACTCTCCAAATATTCATAGTTTGACCTGTTTGTTTTAAACCTTTTCACCAAATTCTTTCATTCTCTTTCGTCACCCAGAATATCCCTCCTCGAGCCGGGGTAATCAGTGTGCCTCCTCAGTCTCGCCCGCAACCTCCCTCTCATCCCGGAGCACCCAGACCCATCCCGGAGGTGCATCCCGGGGCCCCTCGGCCCATCCCAGACACCCACCCTGGAGCCCCTCGACCTGTGGCCACTGGCCAGGTCAAACCGACTGACCTTCCTCTGGGTAAGGAAAATATGGTTTTGCTAGATTATCAACAAAAGAATGTTGTTTATGTAAAACTACTCAACTTCTCCTGGGTCTCTCGCCCAGGTCCCCCCTCCTCGGGCCCCCCTCCTGCAGAGCCCGCTGCAGCAAGACCCCAGGCTCCATCCCCTATGCAGGCACCCATGCAGCCCCAAAAAGCCGCCCCTACGGCTCAGGCTCCATCACCGATGCAGCCCCAGCCAGCCGCCCCTATGGGTCAGGCTCCATCGCCCATGCAGACGCCCATGCAGACGCCCATGCAGACGCCCATGCAGACGCCCATGCAGACGCCCATGCAGCCCCAACAAGCGACCCCTACGGGTCAGGTTCCATCGGCCATGCAGCCCCAACACGCCGGCCCTACGGTTCAGCTCCCACCACCGATGCAGCCCACGTACTCACAGCCACAGCAGGCCCCTAAAGCGGGGCCCCTCGCCGCCGCCACGGCTGGCTCTCCACAAGGTCTGTCCTCTCCTAAGGCCCCGCCTCGTTCCCGCTCCTCTCACGCTCTGCCACCTGATGCTGCCAAGTCCGAGACGGCCCCGGCTATGCAGGTTTGTGCCAACTTCCTATTCCTTCCTTTCTGCGACTGAACAAACACGAATAAGAGTATCTATTGATTACAAGTTTTTTTTTTCTCCTTGAATTGATTGGTTGATTAAAACCGAAAGATTCTCAAATTCTTGTTATGAGATGTCGAAATCAGATGCTAAATGATGACTCGTGTTGGGAGGTGGAGCCTCTTTTCTCCTTCTCTCTCTCTCTCACATCAGATGAGCTTAGTTGTCTTAGTTGTGTCTTCTTCCTGCTTCTGTCTCTCTGATACATTTGTCTCTCTCTCACAAGCCGGAGAAGCCCTGAGGGTGACAGGTACTTTACATTAAACCACCTCTTTGTCTCACCCGCCATAGCGCAACTGTCCTCTGCTCTCATGTTTTTACCTCTCATACGTTACACTCAGTAACCTGTAAGTCTCATTTCGTAACCTTTTTTTTTTCACGTCTTCTTCAAGCGATAATTTAACCAAAGCATTGCTTGTCTTTCGTTTGTCGGGTCAATATTTCCAAACCATAAACAGCGTGAGGAAAAAGAAACATGAAAATGTGATGTTTAGTTGTTGCCCATTTCCCCCTCACTAGTCCTTTCATATCTGCTCATTCAGGTGTTGAAATGGAGCACATATGCAATGACTACATTTCAATTTTGTTTGATTTGTAATTCATTCATTTGTACATTTGGTGGTTGTCTGTGATACCTAGATCAATAGTCTGTATACTTACGTTTAGCCTGAGCGCTAGCAAGAAACACAACTGTTTGTTGACAGGATTGTTGATCTAAGCTAAAGAAAGAAGGTTATAATAAATAACCCCATTCTGGTTAGTAGAACCCGTGTTTGTTGTGAATGCTGAACGGCTTCGTCTCTGTTCCTCCTCAGACCAACGGACTGAATGGAATCCAAAGAGAAGCACAATGGAAGCCCGACCCCCTCGACACACTTGCTTCTGGTTTCCTCTCCTCCTCCTCCTCCTCGTCCTCCTCGTTCTCCTCGTCCTGGCACACCACCCAGTCTCTGACCCGGGGCTCCTCCCTGCGCTCTCCCCCCTCTGCTCCCTCGTCCACGGCCGCCGCCTCCTGCCCTCTCCCTCCCTCCACCTCCTTCCATCCCTTCGCTCTCTATCCGTCGTCGTCCCCCTCCTTCTCCCTTTCCACCCCGTCCCCCGTCGTCGCCGCCTCCTTGCTCCCGCCTCCTCCGGCGCCGTCTCGCAGCCGCTCGCAGGAGACGCTGCGCGCCTCCCCCAGCCCCTTCCTGACCGACCCGCTGCCCGCCCGCCCGAACAGCACCAATCCCTTCACAGGCCCCGTGCCGCTTCAGCAGCAGCACCGCCGCCCGCTCACGCCGGACTTCAGCGTCCAGCGTCCCGCCCCGACGCCCAGCGTTCAGAGGACCACGTCCGCTCTCTCCCAACCACTCGTCCCCGCCGCGCACGCCTTCCAGCTCCAGAGGGCCGTATCCCTGTTCGACCCGCCATCCGCTGTTCCTTCGGCGCCGGCCCCTCTGCTCCCCGCCGGCCCGTCCCCTTTCCCCTCCCTGCCGCTGGCGCCGGCCGCGTGCATCCAGCCCGTCCTTGCGCCCCGTCGCCAGCCGTCTCCTCCGGGGGGGAAACCGAAGCCGCGCTGGGTCACTTTTGACGACGATTTGGACTTTCGACCTCCGACCAAAGGGCCGCAGGCCCCCGTCCTCCCCGCCAGCTACCTAGTGCCCCAAATTCTGCCCTCGAGCTCCGTGTTTGACTCCGAGCCCGACTGGTTGACCTCGGCCCCTTCGGTGTTCCCGACCCTGCCTCCTCCCACCCCGAGTAGAACTGTGAACAGTAACGCGAAGCCCCCAGGGGGCCCCGGGCAGCGACTGCTTCCCCCCAGGGATCCCTCTTTAATATGTAAAGGGCGAATCCAGATATGTATAGTTATATGGGTTAATGTGTATATGTGTTTGTGTATGTACAAAAGAGACATTATTCAAAAAGGAATAGGTTCCCCCCCCCCCTCACCCCCCTTACGTCTCTAGAAGTGTACGAGCCCAGAAGGCGTGTTCTAACTTGACCACAGAGATGTTTGCTTGTTTCCTGATGTTTATTTTAATATTAATTGTTTGTTTTAAATGGGCAAACACGTGCCTGTGTCTGCGGTATAGTATATACATAGTACAGCTTTACGCACAAACCATGTGTTTTTAACGCGTGCAATATGAAGTGTCTCTCCGTGGCCGCGCAGCACGCCGCCATTCGCGGTCCACGTCCACCCGGCTGACTGACCCGTACGTCGGAGCGGGCTTCTCAGAGTAGCGGGTAATCCTCCACCTTCTCAGTTTACATGTAGTTGATGTAGAAGATGAATGTACTTTATGTTGCACTGGGTTTGGTCGTTGCCTCCTTGCTGACGTTCCAGCGTGAGCCGGAACAGCAACGGGTCGGCGTCCTGGTCCGTCAAACCGCCACAAACCCTGAGGTCATCTCGTCCACTCGGTAGAAACCCACTTTGTTCTCTCTCTCTAGTAAGTCATCACTTTGTCAATGGGCTGTTACGCTTAGCTGAATATATTCTGTAGCGCTTTATCAAAACATATACATGTGATTATGTATAAATGTTTTCGACATGGGAAGCGACTCAGTGCATCGCGCAATATAACTGATGCGCTCGGCTTCTTGGTGGCGTTCTCGCCGATGGCGGAGCGACAGAAACGAGGACTGGACAGATGGCCGCTCCACATCTGGAGTGTTTTGATCGTTCTTGATTTGTCCAAAGCATTTAACCAGACTGCTGTAAGATCAGAGACGCCGCGCACGCTGCTGTTAAGCACGACAGTCGCGTGATCGGAGTCAACTCGTGCATAATAACAAGAGGGCACATTCTTTTTCTTTTTTTTAATTCAACTTTTGTTTATGGCGAAATTTATGTTTTTAATTTATACAAACATTTACTCTAAATAATCTGTTGTTGATAACGTGGTGACGTGTATTGTGTTTGAGGTGCATATCGTCTGTTTTCGTGTTTGACAGTGTTTGTGTTTGGATATGAGTGCGTGTGTGTGTGTGTGTACACAGAGTTTAAGAGGTGAATATCATAGCTTTCCCCGTAGGAAGTCTTCTCTCTTAAGTTCGTTCCAGTTTCTGAACTAACAGCCACTGTATTCACTCAAAAAAATGGTTGTAAATTTATTTCCGATCTCTAGCGTGAGGCCCTCACTGTATGCAAAACCCCAAACAATAGCAGACAATGGACCATTTCCACACAGCACCCACCACCTGCGTGAGAATTTGCCCAGAGCAACACAGAGCATCATTCACTACCTTGACAAACACAAACTATACTGTTTGCTCAGACGCATCACCAGATTATCATTCCCAGTAGACTGTTTGCGGAGTTCTTCCCAGGCGCAGCGCGGCCCACATTCCAGACAGTAGCTGTGATTTTGAGTGTTGGGTGTCAAACTCTTCTCAGCGTTTGCAGGTCCAGCCGTGATGTCTAACCCGTAGCCGCTTCCTCCAGTAAAGCGTGATTGTTACTGATCCTCTCTGATGTTGTGACCATTAATGATGTTATCTTGCCAGAGGTGATGTGTCTGTAATTATTTTTATTTTTTTCCCTGTACTATGTTATTTCCCTCTTTCGCTGCTGTTGAGACGCGTGGGTCAGCGTCAATGTTGACAACGATGACAAGCAATAGTGTTGCAAATGGATCAGTGCGAGTGCAATCGTCCCAAACATGACACATGCCAGCATCTAATCAGATCGTGTCCCCGTAACCTTCAGAAATTACGTAACCGGCTTAAATGTTTTACAAAAGCATTTTGATGGCTCATGGAGGAAACCCCCCCCCCCCCCCCCCGCCCCAAAAAAAGTATGAGCTAACTAATGCTTCATTAAACACAATGTAAAGATAAAAAATTAAAAAAGCATTGGCTATCTATGTAAGCAAGTGTATCAGGTTGCCTTTGCTTAATGTCGATGTCATCTCTAAAGCATTCATTGTGTGCAGTAGATCACGTATCTGCAAGTAACAGTAGGTTACTAGCCAGCGCTTTGTGTCCTGTCATGTTCAAGATGAGATTTTATAGGAAACATATGGCTCCTTTTTGTGAGGTTGGTGTCCCTTTTTATGGTTATAATCCATAGTAAATAATGAGTCTGTGTTGTTGAACATATACTGTATGTATTAAAGAGAAAACATGACACTGAAATTCATATTAATATCCAACGTTCCATATTTTAAGTGCGAAGCTGATTGCACATTTATGTATGAAGCAGTTTATGTTGTATGTATGCAAAAATAAATGTAAGTTGACCCTCGAGTGTCCTATTGCAGGCTGTGACCTTATTGCGCATCCTACAAACTTCAACAACATATACCTCTATTCAACATGCAGGAGTCGCTCAATGAATCATCAGCATCAGTCAAATGAAGAATGCCTTTCTACTAAGTTTACACGGCGCTTACAAACTCAGGAAGCTTCTCACACACACACCACATTGCTGACTGTGTTACCATCATTGACCTCTAGAGGGCAGCGATGGTGCTGAGCTTGTTTTCAACCTCTCGTTAATTGTTCACACGAAGAAGAATCCGGACGTGACCGCTTGTAAACACGTTGCGAGGGCAGTGTCTTAAGTCGTTTGACTGTACATGTAAGTGCTGTAACTATTAACTATTACCCACAATGGCGGAATGACCGATAGTTGAGATTGCGTTAGTTCAATGTCAACAGCTAGAGCTGGTTAGTTTAATTTAGCTCATACGAAGGTCCTTGGACAACTGCGGTCCGCTTATGGCACAGGGGTTGTATTATTATGCGCCGAATTGAACTGATTTGGGATTTTGCGGAATTGTTTTATAATTACACAAAATTGACTGAATAATAGCTCTCAGTTAGCAAGCTAGTTAGAAGCTAGCGCGTTATGCTTTTCGGGAAGCGCACGCCCACAAGCGGTTGCTATGGTTACACCGTTTCCACAACAATCCCCAACAGCCTCTTTGTATTCACGAGCAAGTCTCGGCGTTGTTGCGGGAGGTTTATCTCCACCACAGATTCGCATTCGACGTGTGCCCCTGAACGTCTCTCCTCTCTCTCTGTGTAGCCGGTGAGCTGCTTTGCGACATGGTGCAGCTGCACGTGAAGCGCGGGGACGAGAGCCAGTTTCTCCTCAGCACGTCGGTGGACTCGCCTCTGGAGACGCTGATCCAGCAAATCACAGCCATCTACAACGGGAGACTCAAAGTGGAGCGAATATGCGCAGGTGAAAACGACCCGCCCAGTGCTTAATATTGTAAATCTTGCTTCACCTCTACATGAAGGGGTTTAACCTGCTGAATGCCACAGGCCTCCAGAGACTCAGTCCTTCGTGTTTGTTAAAAGCCACAATGGGTTTCTATATTCGTAAACCATTGACTCCCAGCATGGGTTTCCTGGCTTGTTTTTATTTTCCTGCTGAACCTTGAGGTTTCGACCACTTTTCCTTGACGTTGGTTTCCCTTGTGACTCGATGCGTCGCAGAGATCCAGGAGCTGGCCGACCACGGCGTCACGCTGCCACCCAACATGCAGGGCCTGACGGAGGAGCAGATTGTGGAGCTGAAACTTAAGGATGAATGGGAGGAGAAGTGTGTGCCCAGCAGCGGGCCGGTATTTAAGGTGGATGAGATGGGGAGGAGGAACGGACACGGTGAGACCGACTCACGATAGAAGTTCTTCTTAACGTCATTAACATTGTCAGGACGCTTTGAGCTGCACGAACTTCCATGAGTGTGTCGGAATTAAACACATTTAAAAAAAAAAATCTTTTACTGAATATATGTTGTGAAATGTTATTTAATTTCAATGCTGCCAAAATAAAATCTTATCATAGATTCCCATCTGTTTACTTTCTACCAGCTCCAAATGATAAAATGAAGCAGGTTTTGTTAAGAACCGTTGAGGACGCAAAGGCCCTGATCTCTAAAGTGAGTATTGGCGTAGACTTAACTTTTTTGACGGGCTTGTTCAGCATTTTTTTAAATGTATCACCTTGTTTTTTTCAGAAACAAGTTCAAGCCAACGTTTGTCTCACCGCGGAGACGGTAAAGGAAGCCTTGGATCCGCTAAGGGGTGCAGTCATGATTGTGTACCCCATGGGGCTGCCGCCTCATGACCCCATCAGGATGGAGTTTGAGAACCAAGAAGACCTCTCAGGAACGCAGGTAAACCACTTTTTTTTTTTGAAGGATTGCCATTAAAAAAAAAATCAGTCAACAACAAAGGCATGTTAGTAACATGTCCGTTCTTAATAATCCCTTTTCCTCCCTCCATCCTCTCCGCATCCGCCCTCTCCATCTGTCTGTACCACAGGCATCTCTGCAGGTGATCACAGAGGACGAGTGCCAGCTATGGTGGGCTGGCAAAGAGATGCAGAGAGGGAAAAAACTGCAGGACTACATCGGCAAAAATGAAAAGACAAAGCTTGTGGTCAAAATCCAAAAGGTGAGAGCCATTTAAAGCCAACCTGATGGGGTTTTGGTTGTATTGGGTTTTACTTTTCTATTTTTTGCCGTTACCGTCAGAAAGGGCAGGGGCAGCCAGCCAGAGAGCCTCTGATCACCGAGGAGCAGCAGAAACAAATGATGATGCATCAGTACAGGAGGCAGGAGGAGCTCAAGGTGAGGAAAGGCTAAAGAGACCTCAACACTCGTGGACTTTAAAACAGGTGCACGCAAAAAAGAAATATGTTCACGTTGTACGAAATGTGCCGTTTTCAGAAACTGGAGGAGGCAGACGATGATAGCTACCTGGACTCGCAGTGGTCAGACAGACAGGCCCTCAGAAAACAGTTTCAAGGCCTCACCAACATCAAATGGGGACCGAGATAAACCGCTGTGCCGCTCTACCGGGAGGTTGTTTCCAGCTAAGCAGCCTTATCACCACCCTGTAGTTGTTAAAATGACTTTTTAAGGCTTTTAAGAGAAACTTCAAATGCCTTGTAGAGGATGTGTGTCTAGACTGACATTCAAATAATGTCTTCATCTGAACTCAAATTGGAAGAAGGCGTCGAGAGATGTTGTATGAAAGATGGAGGCCGATGATTTATGTAAACTTCAATCTGATCCCTGTATTTCTTTACTTCCAACCGCTTTTTATTGAAACTGTGCAAATGGAATTAACTTTTTTTTTTTTAAATTTACTTTTTCCAGTATGGCTTATGTGAATAAAATTGTTAAAAACATTTTTGTATTAATGTTGCAGTAGTGTTGACAATCACAGACAACCTGGAGGTAGTGACTCATCAGGAGCACTGTTTTACATCCCTGTTAGTGCACGGACGAGGATGCTACACCTTTCCTCTCTTTGTCTTAGTCAGTTACACACACACACACACACACACACACGCCTCTGAGTCCTTACTGCTCTGAGGCAGGACGTTGCAACATAGTAGATGGTCGTTCCAGCTCTTGTGCCAGCAGGCGCGAGGAAGTTGTAGTGTTCAAAGTGAGAGAGTTTAATTTTTTACTGTGTACGAACGGTTGATGGAGTCAATGCAGTGAATCCGAGAGGAACAGTGAACCAAAAAAAATATCCTGCAGAGTAGAATGATAATTCAGACCTTTTTCTGGGTTTAATTCGGACACTTTTTGTTCGCTTTTTGTCCATAATTAAAGCATTCTGGAGTTAAAAACCCATGGCAGCATGGTTCATTTAGACATTTGTGTTACAACTGATCATGTTCCTCGACACCTTCTTTGGTTTATAGTCCTTTATTTGTTCAATACAGCTGCTGACTTAAGGGATTGATATATATTAACATATTTAAGGTAGTCACAAATGTGTATAAGCGGTTGTGCGTGGTGGCCACCAACAATTCAACAATACCAAAAGCTGCTTCAATTGATGTCATCTACTGACAGTTTTACATAATGACCTCCTGATGAAAGCTGCAGCCCGAACAATCCCCTCAAATTGGGTCCGCTATACATGTGAGATCACTGTCTGCAAGGCGCTTACTGATAGACACTGTATTATTCTTAAGCATAGTTTGGATGTCATTGGTTTATGGCTAAAGGAAACGTGATATCCAATTAAACTGGTTTGAGTCGCTTATGTTGAAACCCGTTCTGTTAACTATGAATTGCGTTGTCCTCGAGATGCTGGTGCTGATGTCACCACTCGCCCTCTTGGATCCTCCCACAGCAGCAACAGGACTTAATGAAAACCGTATGAGTCACTTTAATAAACCAATTTTTTCTAGATGCTTGGAGTAAACTAGACGTTAATCCACGGCCTCTAAATAATTCTGTGCAGATTCAGCCTTTTTGTGACAATAAACTGCAATCCCTGAAAACGCGCAAAACACTTTCGAAGCTTTATAAGGTAAAAAGGGGGGAAAATGTGTCTTCTTTAATAACCAAAGGCTGCGAGGTGCTGCGGTGACTCCTGAACAGATCCAGAAGGTGCTGAACGGCATTGATCGGTCCCAGCCTGCTCAACACGGGCTGCCGTCTGGGGAGGCATTCATCCATATCTCCTGTATGATCATCTCCCTGCGCTCGATCCTCTCCGCCAGTTCCGCTGCCTCGCTCACATAAGTCACTTCCTCCCAGCCGCGCGTCCCCCTCCTTTCCCCGGCTGAGATCAAAGAGCTTCCGGTTCGCTCTCCGACATCGTCCTCATCTTCTTCATCGTCGTCGTCATCATCATCCCCACCATCACTGTCGTCCTCCTCCCGGCGGTCCGCGGCCAGCCTGCGAGAAGCGGCTGCCGGCCCGTCATCTCCGGCCTGGCGGCCTCTGCAGGTCACTCGGACCGACACGGCGAGCAGTGTGAGCATTAGACCGACGCACACACTGGAGGTGAACAGCAGGGCGGCCATTTCTGGATGCTCTGCGTAGGACATGAGAAGAAGGCGAGAGATGTGTAAACATGGTTAGGATGCACATTTATGGCGAGGCGTGTTCACCTTTGACGTAGGCGTAGGTCAGGAGGGAGCTGCTCATCACTGCTCTCGAGTTGTAGGGCCTTCTCGAACCTTTGGGGAACGACCCGTCCGGATCTCCAGGAAGAGCTGCGGGAATGATACGAATGTCGGTTAAAGGGTACAGAAAAACCTTCCAACAGGTGGCGTTACCTTACGTTACCTTTCTCTGTGTCCACGGGAGGAGATGAAGTGGAGGCGAATAGGTCCGGGTCTGCCTCCCTTAGCAGCGACTGGGGTACTACTGGAAGGAAGACAGAAGGGACAGTCTTTATGTCGATGTGGACCGAGGACCGATCCGCACGGATTCTGTGATTGTGTGCTGTACAAACTAGAGTAGACGCTTCCTCGGTGTAACTTCCGACTGACTGTTTGTGACTGACTGTTTCAATGTATTCGGTCCAGTTGTGCCGCTAACTGTTTCGACGAGGTTAGCGCACATTGTTTTTTTGGAGGGCGCCAACGGAGCCGGTCCGAAGCAATTCTGCCTACCAGGCCGACGTCACATCTCCAAACTTTGATACATGAACAATGTTGCTGCACGACCTCACTGGCATCCGTGCCAATCGCAGGAAGTTTACCAGGATGCCAGCCTCGACCTGCACGGTATCGCCCGCTACTGTGATGTTGGGTGTGACGCGACGAGAAGGGCTGAAGGCTGAGATCGGCAGATAAGGATCCACAATAGGAAACTACGAAGGTTCAGCGGCAGAACTGACACGTAAGGATTTAGGCCAAAAGACAAAAACAGACCAGAGTTATTATTAGAATAACGTGACGAAAGCCTGCTCCTAATTTAAGGGCTCTTAATTTGTCAACAGGCTAGCGGTGAAGTATCTTGCAAATGAAGAAGCAAGAAAGGATCCTACCACAAGAATAGAGCACACTGAGGTACTTCCTCGTTCCTGGAAAACAGGGGTCTCTGAAGGTCTGGTTGCCGATGGCAACGGCACACTTCTGTTTGCCGTAGCAGGACTCGGACACCACGTGCACAGCCTCGTGGTTCAGACACTCTATAGGGAGGAGCAAGACGGACTCAGAGAGCTCTCATTCAATGAGGAACACAGAGTGAGTGTGTGTGTGTGTGTGTGTGTGTGTGTGTGTGTGTGTGTGTGTGTGTGTGTGTGCACGCTCCTTCTCACTGACGTGTACTTCAGCTGCAGGAATTGAACCACTGATCTGATGCGAATATCTGCTGAAATATCTGCTGTGACATAAAAGCTCATGCTTAGGTTTCCCTTTTAATCAAGGCCACATTTCCCATAATGCCTAGTTGCCTTTAAGTGAACCGCCGGCTACAGGTGTTTTTAAACCGAACTCGGCACGGCGTTGGTGGTAAAGTACAGAACTTTGTAAATGATAAAATGAAAGACAGCTGAAATCCTGAAATAGCCAGGAGGAATCGGTAACGCAAAATATTTTTTTGCAGTTTTGATAAAACTAATGCAAAAGATTAAGATTTGAATCATTTGATTGCTGTTTCGGTCTAAACTGTCAAGAGTTGTAATAATGTTACGTCCCCCCCCCCGTGTAAAACAGAAGAACTTCCCTCTTCTCAGAGGAATAATCCGTTTGTTAGCACAGCGCGAGAATCCTGAATATCCCGGAACTCACCGAATGGGGGTAGTGGTCTCGTCAGGTGTGAGGGGCAGGTGGGAGTCTGGCCCAGACTTCTCCCATAGACAGCTGCGTAGATGTTCAGAAGCTTGGGGGGCTTACAGCGCAGGGTCATCGTCTCCCCCTCACACACCACATGCCTTTTGTGTTCAGCTGGGGGGAGGGGAGGGGTGGGGGGGGGGCACACAATTAGGATGAAGACATGTAGCCGTGTCATTAACGCGGTGAAAGAATGGTACAGGGACACACTTGGTTTACACTTGTAGTCCACGTGGAGGTATTTGGGGGTGCCGGGACAGGGGTCCTTCCCAAACAGTAGGTGGTTAACGGGCAGCTGGCAATCTCTGTGGCTCTGACACTCCGACAGCAGCTTCTGCGCGGGCAGAGCGCATTAAGCAGTGCCTCTTATAAATCTACAATCATTAAACAGTCAGGAATATTTTGGTGGGTGTGTTCCCCAAAAAAACTGAAGCACATATGGGTGTAGGAAAGAAAAAAAAAAAACCTGGCCAATGAATCAGCGAACACTGGCGAACACCCCAACCAAACACATGTGACCCAGTGAGAGTGAAAGGAAAAGAGGTGTACGGCCCACGCTGTAAAACGCACCTGTAGGGCAGTAAAAGCGGAGCAGCTGCGGTTGTGGGCCCCGAGCGGAGGGTCCGGGTCGGACGGGCACGGCGCCGCCGCGCCGCTCCCGTAGAAGGCGGACTGGACGGAGATGGTGGAGTGACGCGGGCAGTGGAGTCGCAGGGGCTGTCCGTCACACGCCTGAGCAGAGTGACTGGTGATGATGCGGGACAGATAGTCTGTGACACAAAAGGGCCCCGGGGTTGGACTGGGAGGTGAGGGGACACGTACAAATGACTCGAGGCGATTTTACGAGTTTAAGCTGATTTCTAAACCCGTGGAAACGGTGGCTTAAAGAACTCGGAGGCTCTGGTGAAAGTTTCCTATAGTTTTTTTTCTCAGAATAAAAAACATTATGAGGAAGCCTGCCATAGGAATTGGAGCTGTGGGGTTTGAAAGACGCCATCGAGGTACATTACAGGAAATTTAAGGGCCAACAATTTTTTGGGGGGGGGCCTCCCAAAAGACTGAACCTTATGTAATTTTCACCATTGATTTAATCGATCTGGCTCTTGTGAGCCCCCAGACTTCATGGAAGTGCAATGCAAGATCACCAGAGTACCCTTTGAAATTTAGTTCATCACATAAAGGACAAACAACCTTGGGGTTTGTGCGCTTGTAGGGGTCCCGCCGGTACTGGTTACTTACAGGGGTCTTACATTTGAAGCAACTTAATACCATGTTCAAACTAGATAATTTACTAGGAGCAGGCTAGCGCAACATTTTATATACACACACAATCTATGATATGATGACGTTCATAACAATAGTATTTCCTGGGTGGCTTTCCGGAGGGAGGTGAGGTCACCTGTGTCCTGGCGACTCTGTTGCTGGATTTAGCCATTTCTTAGTTACTGCTGCTGGTGTCTTTAGAAAAGAGTTGACAACCCTTGGATGATCCTTTTTATATTTTCATTTTTTTAAACTGATGTGCTCTTGCAAATTTGTCAAAAACTACCACCCCTGCCTTTGAGGTCGTTGGTGTTGTTTTTTCAATCGGCTTTCGGATCAGCGTGTTTGGCCTCGCTCGGGTTCTGTTAGTGGTCTCATGTTGCTCGGAAGAAAACCCACCAAAGTGCCGACTGCCAGATCTCCTTCCTGGATGGCAAACCCTGCCAGCTGGCGTTCAGCCTGACATGACCCACCTTTTGTAGGATGGTGTGCAGATGCGTCAAAGTTACCTCTGATTCAGAGTCCCTTATCCTTGAGGTGTTTATGTCACATTTCACTTGTGGAAAAGGACTCTTGTATAAGAACGGATTCAATTAAATGTTATAAAGAAAACACACGTTCGAGACTATACACAGCAGGTCTTTTCACAACACTTCATGCTTCTCTTTAACCATTCTCATCCATTCATTCCCCTCCTTCTCCCTCTGCACCATCTTCATCTTCATCATCATCTTACTTGAAAAGTCGGCCAGTCCACTCATGCGTCTGGTCCACAGGAGTAAAGTCAGGTAGAAGAGGCTGTGGCTAAAGTCCGCTCCGTGGAAAGGACGCGTGCAGCTCATGGCTCGGATCCTCCGTCTCTGAGATCATAATTTAAAACGCACTGGAGAAAATCACCGTAGGCTACAGAACTTTAGATAAAAATACTTCTTATTTATTGCGCGCGGTGTGAGAAGTAAGAGAGAGCTCCTCCTCGGCTTCCTCCGTCCGTCCGCCCGCGATGAAGCGCAGAATCTGCGCCGCAGGGAAGGAAGGAGCGAAGAATAGCAGCTGCGCAACAAGTTGCTCGCGCAGAAGTGACCCGGGAGGTGAAGGGATCGGGTCCGGCCGGGACGGGGGCGCGTCAGTGGATCGGGTCCGGCCGGGACGGGGCGGGGGGGCGTCAGTGGATGCTCGTGGAAACTGAAGGAGACCAACAGGAACAGCTGCGTGGGAATTATGGAGTGGGCGTGGCACACACAACTGTTTTAAAGGGAAACGGGGGGCGAAGCAGTCTGTGGCATGACGCACGGGCCGGACCCTTTATACACACACACACACACACACACACACACACACACACACACACGCACACGCGTTTACCTTTTGGATTATGGCAAAAGGCTTCATTCAGTGAGGTTTGTAGGTTTCTTTCTCTTCCTCTTTCTCACTGCTATGAACGGAAATAAACACTTTTAATTTATTTGTACTAAGAAATAGAAACAAACAAATACAGCACCAGTCAAACGTTTGGACACACCGTCTGTGAATGAGAAGGTGTGTCCAAACCTATATATATATTTTTATTTTTTATATATATGTTGGTATGAACAGGAAGAATAACCTTCTGGTCAAGATTGTGCTGTTGGCAAATTAGTATTCAATGACGGTGCCAGGGACCAAAAACAAATATACACAGTCTGTGTGTGTCCCACTTCGAACGACTGATATATTTTCATTCGGTGTCTTTTCATAACCGCGGTGCCTTTGAATGAAGCGGGGGGCCTATGGATTCCCAGGCCCACATCCGTGACCTGCTCCATGGTAACCGGTCCATCGGTGTGTCACGTGCAACGCGGACCCACACAACAGTCAAGCTGACAGTCGGTCGGGTCTCCACGCTGGAAGAGTGGCAGTGGGAGGAGCTGGAAGGTGATATTTTGCATACAAACTTGTCAACAGCCCCCCCAGTGGGTTTCATGCTCTGCATTTTAGCTTTAAGCACCATGGGAGTGGCTCCAAACCCCCTTTTCATGCGCAGTTATCCCTCCAAAGCCTGTGGAATTTTGTTGTCAAACTCTAAATGTTTCCTGCACTTTGTTTTCTAGACTCAAGACGTTTAGGTCCAAAGGGGAAAGTCACACGGCATCGAAGTGAATGTACTCGTAACAAGTCCTCAAACATGCAGATATGTAGTCTTAAGAGCTTTACGGATAAGAGTTAGAGAATTGAGATAACGTCTGTCCAATCGTATGGCCGTCACACATTAGCAACTACGATTCCACTTAATGACATTAAAGTCTCCATAGCCAAGAATACATTTATTGCTCTTAGAGTTTTATATTTACATTCATGTAAATGTGTTTATCACTTTTGAAAGTCAGCATCCAGACAATCTAAACGTATTAAAATCATATTTCCGACACACTGAAGCCATTTAAATAAGACAACCAGTCTTTGCTATACACCCAGCAGACAGACTCTGATCAAAGGAAAGCTTACACATGCCATGTTGTTACCACACAACCCCCTCATTAGATAGTAGAGACTACAAACTAAAGACCACTTGATTAGTGTTGATGATGTTTTGGAACAAACAGGAACTGAATACGTCCAATCAAACAAAGGAAAGAAAGATCACAATTTGTCTTTTTTTTTGCCTCAACTGTGACTAAACTGAATGGCTCACTTATCAAAATAGTTTTAAGTAGTTTTTTTTTATAGAACACACGTTTCCTGTCTACAGAAGTCACTGAATTCACTTTGAACATGAAAAAGAGGGCAGCAGCCGCAGCATGATATTTTACATTCTGTTGGCCGCTGCAACACATTAAAAACAGTAAACAAGATATGGAAACAATTACTTTATTGTTTTTTTTGGAAATAGATATTTACAGCTCAAAATGTACATTTTGAACATCTTCACTTGAAATCCATATTCGTCTCAAGTTGGGAACTAATTACAGCCTGAAAATCGAGGAAACACATCTGCATTCAAATTAAACATAAACAATCACATCCCATCCATCATTGAATCACCTTTTTTTAGATACTCACCAATTCTCTTTTTGCTTCTTCTATTTTCACTTTAGCAAGAGATGGGCTCTGTTATGGCGTAGAAGGGAAAAAATACATATACAGTCAAGTCAAATGGAGACGCGGGTGTTTTTAAATGTTGACCACTTGTTGAGTTGGTTGACTTGATAAAAATACATAACCACAAACCGGTTAGAACAATGTCAATGAACTGTAGGACGTGGGACTTTTTTTAGGAGTAAATAACGGAAACATACTGGGCTCAAGTCCATGTAAGGCTCCAGTTTCTTTTTCAAGGGGATTATTTCTTGTTTCAGCACGGCGACTTCCTACAGAGAGAAAGGACACGTCTCAAACCCTGAAAGCACAACGTGTTACATTTTCCTCACCGCGGAGCTCCGTTGTCTCGCCGGTGTAATTACCTCAGAGAGCTGCACAATAGCCTGGTGGGTGAGGGATTTGTCCATGTTCCTGGAGACGAGTTGAGCCTGCGGGATTTATAGAAGTAAGTGAAACGTTCAACATCTGCTTCCTTCGGACAGTGATAAGCCAGGGCGTTAGAATATTATTGGAGGCTCCACAGAGGAAACAAATGAGAGCTAATCCACCCTAAAGTTTGTCTCTTCCCACTGCAGAAGGCTGTACTCATCCTTTCCATCCTTCTAATTGACTCTTGTTATTCCATTAGGTTGTTTTCAGGCTTGCGTTAACTGGCCCTTCCTCGTGGCTAATTAATGCCTCTTCAGACGGCATAGCAAGTTGTCATTAGTACAATCTTAAATTTTCTCACCAAGAGCAAACCTCCCACAAAGACACGAACCCTTAAGGATACAAAACACGGCTATTTATAACATTTTATTTTACCCCGCTTGTCATTTTCAATAGCATTGCATTGTGCCGCATCAGCCCCTCAATGGTCCACGCCGCTATTATATCACACCGTACCTCTGCCCGCTCCCGCCGGCTGCTGAGCTCCTTGGCCTTCGCCGTAACAAAATCCATGTTGAGCATCCTCTCCTCCGCCTTGGCGCTCTCCACTGACTGAGACGTGACAGTCTTGTTGATGTCCCTGGAGACGATCGAGAATTTACTGGCATTCACTGCAACAATGGTACAATATCACGGCGGCACAGTCGTCCTCCTCAACGTCCACGTTCTTACTCTTGCAAGCTGCTCCGCAGCACCATAGTGGCACCGAGTCTGTTCCTCAAAGCCACGAGTTCCCTCTCCAGTCTCCGGTTGGACTTCTCTTCCTCCAGCAGGGAGTTGGTGAGGTGGTTCATTGCTGGCATGAAGCTGGATGTGCAAATCAAATCAAGCCGTGAAGTCTGTGAATGGTCATTTTCACGTCTTTCAGCGAGGGAAAAATACTGTCTGGAAAAGAGTCAGCAAAAGTGCAGAGTCAGTGTACCTGCCCAGCGACGTGTCTCTGACCCCGAGTACCATGGCCGTGTCCACTAAGGCAGACAAATAGTCATCGGCGGGTTTGGACAGGCTTGCGCAGGACAAACCCAAGCCTTGTAGGAGGACATCACGGTAATGAGCACCTAAACAGAGGAAGCATAGTTGAGATCTGAGAGAAGGCTCTGGAGAATTAGTGTGAAGAGGTGAGATTTAGTGAAGTGTCTTACACTTGCCAAAAATGCCTACAGCGAAGCATGTAAAGACACAGAATCACCTTCATTTGGCCTTCATCTCGTCTTATACCAACAACGCACTCACCACAATAATGGCTGAGATGTGTGGGGCAACATTGCTTTAATGAAAAGATCCCACTGCCCCCTGTGTAATAAAGCATTATGATGTGGCTTGTTCACGTCCTAACTATTACTTTAGTGAGCACAATTGTAACAGTTAGAAATTTAGTTATCCTACAAAATAGGTGTTGCTGTTGGTTTATATTAGTTTATTTTAAAATTATTGACCAAAAATCACTTTGGCACCAAAACCTCATATTTCACTTTCATTATATGTTTATGTATCACAAATATGGATGTTTATTTTTCAACCCCAATATAAACGTGGATCCAGCTCACCCTCGGACTGATACTCGGACGCTTTCTGTTTGAGGTCTTCTGTGAGAAGAGCCGCCTCCCCGCAGCGGGCTTCACTGGACCGGGCCAGCTGGTACAGGACGTCCACCGTCCTGGTGTTGACTTCAAAGTGTGGCACCGGCTGATCCCCGAACACCGCGCCGAGCCAGCTGTTCACCTGAGCAGCGACGCGACACGGGGGGGTAAACAAAAGGCCAGAGCGGCAATCGCCGCATTAAATAATTACGTCATGTCGCCCAAGTACTGATGGTTACCTTCTGGATCTTCTCGCACATTGTGAATGAATAAGATGACGAGGACCGCGACGAATAGTTCCCTAACGCGGATATGTAGTCTAACAGCCCTAAAAATAAACAAACAACAACTTTTCCTTCTCAGATTTGCCGCCCCCCAAAAATCCCTCTGATAACTTCCGGGTGACTGTCCAATGAGCAGCTGGAACAAGGGTTGAAGCTACTTTTATTGGAAACAAGTACTTTTATTATTTGATTTAATGAAAATAATAAAATTAATTTGGTGACGAATTCAATAGCTAACGGCCAAAAAGGTGACAAATTAGGCAAACGAAGGTAAATAAAACGGTCTCTTTCCGGTTCACGTTCCTTCCTACCTCCCAAAGATAATCATTGAAGCAAGAGAGTTCACGTTGGTTCTCCTGAGATAACCTTTTCTCACAATCACACGATTGAGAGAAACGTATATAATGACTAAAACCCATGAGTGGTCGGCATTCTTTTTGTGGCGATAATACATTTCATTTTATTTGGAACAGCAGAGAAAGTGATAGAAACCTCTGTATCCATATGTAAATAAATAAATACATACTTAGATACACACACTACTCAGTAAGGTATAATTCATTAACTCCAACAAATATTTACTTTTTTGCTATTTTTTTGATCATACCACTGTCTGCTAATATACAGTAGTATGTAGTGTTATATTTAATATAATACATACTAATACTCTATGTTGCTGAAGGTTCATAAAATGCAGGTGTGAAAACGTATTACCTGAGATTTGCTCGTCCGTGACCTAAAGAGGAAAACAAGAAGCTACGAGGTTTTTCCCGTCTCTTTTTTTACTTGACAGACGAAACAGGAAGTACAAAGAACCGTTCATCTAGCATCCTCTAGATCTTCGCTTCAACCCAACAACAACGCGCGGAAGTTCAAAACTGCTTGTTCGGGAAAACCTGGTAAAATCAACGAAAATGGCGGCGAGAGAAAACACGTTAAAACAGCGACAGAAAATGATCAACACCACATTCGAGTCCAGCATAGATTCCTCTGCGATCGAAGAAAAGTTTTTGCGCCAAGCGGAGGAGGACGAGGACGACGGCCCCGTAGTCTTCATCTGCGGGAAGTGCAAGTTGCCTGTCGGGGATTCGATGTCGTGGGATGGAAGTGAAGACGGTCAAAACCAAATAAGATTGAAACGTGGGTGACGTTAGCTTGCTCGCTGTTCTAACCGAATGAGTTGGTGTTCATGCTTTTGCACATTTGTGGTAACTGTTAGTTGTATCCGTCACTCTAAACCGTTAACCTAAACTTTGAGCACGGTGACGTCAAGTTGAGTGAATGCCGAATGATGTTTTCAAATGCAATTGAAAAGGCCGGAAATGTGCACATTTTTTCTCTCTTTTCGCTGTTTTGGGTTTTAGGGGTCACTGACAACGTCGTGGTTGGACAAGACACGCGCCTATACGACGCGAGTAAACGATCTCTCTGGTGAGCGTGTGCTGCGTGATGACGTCATTACACGACGTCTTTAACAATATTACTTTTTATTTGTTGTAGCGGTTTAAAAGTTACTTTTGCCTGGTCAAAATATAAAAAAAGATTTAATTTTGGATCATTTCATTCAAAACATTTTAAAGTTAAGGATTCAAAAGTATCAATTAAAAGTGCTCATTATTCTGCAGGAAATCCGCTGAGTTTACACTATTGTATATTATTAGTCTAGTAAACAAAATTTTTACAGTATCTCATGGAAAGGTCTCATTAAACGTATATGTTTTGTATGTGAACTCCTAATCTGCCATGTAACTGTAGACTTAACACCTGAATTATTGTACTTTGTAAATTCAAATTCAGTCTTTGGGCCTTCAGGTAACCGAAAGATAACTCTCCATTACGTCAAACCTAATTTTGTTCCCCATTCAATAAATGTGTTTACATCCTAGAAAAAAAAAGTAAATTAAAATGATCTGTATACACATATTTAGAGACTGGTAGAAAAGACCCATCGCTGTTCCCTTTCTACAACCACAGCACTCCCCAAACAAACCCCCAAGTTTTTTTGTAAGACATTGACAAACAACCCACTGATGTTTTGCCATTTATACACAAGTACTTGTCAGATTAAAACTGCTGTGTTTTCTTTCCCTCTGCAGTCTGATTGTGGATCTGTTCTGCCGAGGCTGTCACTCAGTGCTTGGAATGGTTTTCGCATCAACGCCTAAGAAACTCGACTACAAGAGGTTTACATTCTGCTTCAACGTCGCAGACATTGACAGGTACGTTTAGGGCGTAGACTCATCAGGAGGGACGTTTAGAAACAAGCCAGCTTATTTCGAGCGGGATTTTGAAGGTACCTGTAGTTAAAAGCCATATATGTTTTCATTTTGTGTGCATTTTGAAACGACACGTTATGATTAGGATGTGTTTCGAGGTGCATTCTGAAATCCAAAACACTCATACCATTCAAATAAGGATGTCTTCCACAAAAACGCAATGTGAACAACTTTACACAGCTGCTATACACGGTTGGAATGATGTGTGGCATTTCATTCGTTGTACAGGTTTTATTGTCACTCTCCCCACTTGTACCTGCACTTAGCATCCCAATATTCCCCTGAAACCCTTTCAGCTACGTGCTTGGTTCTGCGAGCCAGATGTTGGCAGCAGAGGGCCCCAAAGAGCAGCCGGTCACACTGGAGTACAGAGGCATGGTGGAACAACAGCTGGCTGAGGTAAAGCGCCGCTGCTGCTTGTCTTTGTCTCATTTCTCTGTTATTTTATCGCTGTGGGATCAAATGTTTTGACCACGGAGCAGAATGTCTGCTCTGATGCTCAGTACAACGTGTAACCAGGACTATTTGACCCAACACCGATCAAGATCGGTCCTTTTAAAAAATCTATTCTTTGTAAAAAAGGATTTTAATTGGATTTTGTTGGCGGTTATGAGTCACAGCTTTCTGTGTTTCATAGACGGAGCTCTCACCCCTCTTTGACCCTCTCCGTCTCCCGTTGCTTATGAATGCACAGGTTGCACCAATGATGACATCAGCTCTGTTCTGGGAAGCCCTTGCTCCTGTGATGGGCAGACGTTTGTGTCAGACATTACCTCATCCCACCGTGTGGTCCCTTGCAATGAGATTTATGCTTCGCACCATTTTAGATTAAGTTCAAATAAAGAAGCATATTTTCATTATTTTTGTGTCCAAAAATTCAAATCTAATCATTTAACATTTTCTATATTTTTCAACTTTCAATTCTCTTTTTTTTTTTCTTCCTATTTCACCTTTTTGTGTTGTTATCATTGGGAAATGTAGAGGGCACTTTTATCATTGGTATAGTGTCGCAAAGTTATTCCTGATCGTCCTTTGTCTGAGAAAATCTATCCAGAAGCCTCAGAAAGGCCGCTGGGTGGCGGCAGTGTGCAGCAGCACCCGCTGTCCCTCCCACCGTCGTGGCGCGAGGACAATAGATGGGATGGAAAGCATGTTGAGGAATCTTTGTGAGAGGAAAAACATGTTTTGATCATGAATGGTCTGTGCGTGGTATTTTGTTTACTCGCCAGTTTTTCTCTAGTTTCCCTGCATGTGTCTTAATATAACAATACTGACAACAGACAAAAAAGAAACCAATAACTGCATGTGAGCAAGATGCAGAGTTACGTTTTAAAATGATTAAGTTCATCTCGCACAAAGAATATCATGCCACTGATGTCATGTTGCTCCTTAATCGCTATGCGAGTAAGCTGAAGATTAATCAAACAATGATTTCTCGCTGATTGCATCACAATTTGGTTGTTTTTTTAAGCCACTATTCCTCGTTAGCCAATGGCACGTTGTAACAAGATCACAAAGCGCTTTGTAGGTCAAGAATTAAAATTGTGGCTTTCTCAAATGATGTCTTCCAGCATTAATCATAATGGCTTTTCCCCTGACAAGTCCTACTTTAATTTCATTCCATAAGCGTAGTGTTTTGACTTGGGGGGCCCAAAGCTCTTTTGCCAGCAGTCAATTGTCTCGTCAGAATTTAAGCAAAATATCCGCTTTAAGTGGTAACCTCAACTCATTGTGGGTCTCGAAACTTAATCATTTTTATTGGTGTCCACTAAAAGGTTTTCTTGGCAGCTTGTTGGGTATTTGTGTATCTTGAGTATCAAGGTTGCGACCTATAAAGTAGTTAGAAATGTATGAAACGTGTCAAACAGTAACTGGCCCTTTGTCTCCCGGCTGTGCCGTCGCGGATGGAGGCCGCCGTAGTTAATGTATTAATATTGATGTACTGTCTGCCGGGCAGACCCTTGTTTGGGTGCTTGGGCTTGTACGCTCTCTGATCTGTCTCTCCTCCCCCCCCCCCCCCCCCCCCCCCGACACCCTCCCCTGATCACTTCCCCTTTGGGTTTCGTCATTCTTCCTCGCTGTCCTCTTTCCCATTTTATCTTGACTCCACCCTTCTTTCATCCCGCTGCTCCCTTAATTTCCCACCTGTCCAATTTTCTCCTTCATTTCTTCCCCGTCCTTGATATCCCACCTCTTCCATCTGCCCTCTTTGCTCATCCTCCTTCTTATCTCAAACATCTTCACCTTTCTTTTTTTTTTTTAAACCCTCCCCATCTGTCCTGCCTCCTCCAGATGAAAATGCTGGTCATGTCCATGGCCCAGCGGCTGGAGGAGATCGCCGTGGATGAATGCGACGTGACTGGGAGCGGGGCTTCGTCCAGGTGTTGACGGTGACGTCTCGCCTCTCACCTTTTCCTGACTTTACTGCTTCCTCCTCAAAATGTAATCTAGACCACATTCCTCTGTAATATGTTCTGTCCTAGCCTCACCTTGTGCAGACACACACACACACACACACACACACACACACACACAGCTTCCACTGGGCTCGTTCCTGATTACCAGTGGTGGGACAAAGGGCGTCTGCAAACGTAATCAATCACGTTGTCAGTTGGGCTCGCGTGGCTCGTGGCACCATCTTTCCAGTGTGTCTCGGCGCGGAGCGACTGCACGCTGTGAGCAGAGTGTTTATTTGTGCAGGATTTCATCAGGCGCACTGCACACTCAGCACAATGCTGTATTGATCCGGCCACACACACACTTTCTCTTTGTTCCCATCCTCAAGCGTGGAGGCTTGAGGGATTGCTGTAAATACGCTTTTCATCATTTCCAACAATTTATCAGTGGTAATGACAAAATGTGGTATTTTAATACTGTGCTGCATTTAAGTTATTTTATGTTATTTGCTTCTTTTTCTTCACTTGAGAATTATGGAAATCTTTTCCGAAACAGACATTTAATCGCTTTCCCTCACTTGTTAAATTGTCTCATTGTAGGTCTGTTTTACTGTTTTCTGTTCATTGTTGTAGAGTTTTCTTTGAAACTTCTGTGTAATAAAGTATTGAAAACGTCTTAAATGCTGACTGTTTTTTTTAAGAGTTTTTAAATTAAGGAATAAACCCAAATTAGATAACTTTAAACTACCAGGATAATCCCATTAAATGCTTCTTTTTTTCTTTGCCTGTATGCTGTGAGATCGCGGGGATCAGTGGCTTATCTCGCTTCCTCTCTAATTAGAAGCGTCTCTCTGGATTTAACAGTCGAACACCAAGTTTAAGGTGCTTTCGGGTTCGTGTTTACCGAGCTGACCCATAATGTGCCCAGCAACACTTTCTGCCGAGGCGGGAAAAAGCAGCTCCACGCTGCACCCCCCCCCCCACCCCCCCCCCCCCCTCCCTTTACCCCACCCGCCTCACCCACGAGGTTTCATCAGCCCTCGCAGAACAACAACCGTCGGAGACGTCCAACCAGCACGCTGTATCCAAGGGCAGGTTGCGATGGCAACTGAGAACACGTGTTACGCGCGGTGCCTGTTGCCATCTCGTCATCGTGTGCAACTGCGGGAGGAACAGCCAGCCAGCTCGCGGGCCGGCATGCCTGTCAACAGACGTTACACCCCCCCCTATACTCAGACACATACAGTAAACTCCCCCCGCCCCCCTCACACACCCCTCCCCACCCTACACCCTAATTCCTGTGTGATGTTTTTCTCTCCGCCAACCGCACCCTTTGCCGAGCATCTTTCTCCCTCCCTCCTCCATCGACCGCTGGGAGAAACAAACCAAAACAACAACAAAGCCGGCGTGGCTTTTTGTTGTTTTTGGTGAGTGTTGTTTTCATCCGCTCATAAGGACGTGGGGGGGTGTCTGCGCATGCGCGCAGAAGCGGACAATGCAATGCGACCCGCCGGTGGACCTTCCAGATGTGCGCGTTTAGGCTGGAGAAACGGACTCCTACTGTTTGTTTGTTTGTTTGGCTCCGCTGTCAATCAATCTGTGTTCATCCGCGTGTCCGCGAAGGGCCTCTGAACTCATTCAGTTTTAGTTTGTGTGTGTGTGTGTGTGTGTGTGTGTGTGTGTGTGTATACACACATATTTATAGGCATGGTGTTGCTGGATGCATTGCACCGCCGAGTGTAATTATTGCACCGGTTTGAACCCCTTCACCCCTCCGGTACCAACCAATCGTTACCAACGTGGAAAAACGCGCACACATGCATGTGCTTCAGACGCCTACTACACACATTCTACATGCACTCAGGGACAAAGGATGAATAATGGAGAGGTAGCGTCTGGGTGGATGTCGCCTCTCCTCTTTTCCCTCCTTTTCACCTTCCCCGAGCAATGAGGAAGCAATGTTGCCATGGAGGCAATGAAGCCGCAGCACGCCGTCAGCCAATCACGGCCATCCGTGGGTGAAACTCGGGACCAATGGCTCCTCGAGCTGATGCTGCTGTTGCCACGGACACCGAGATCCTATTGGCTGAGCTCTGCTCTTTGATTGAATTTCTGATCTTGTTTTTGAGAGAGAAAAAATATCTCAAGGAGTGCCACCTGTGTGCCAACATATAACGTGTTTGTTTTTTACCCATGAAATTATTATTTTGTAAGAGGGAAACATTTTCTGTTTTAAATACTTAAATCCAGGAGCTTTTATGAAGTGAGCAAGGACGAAAAGTGTCTCTTTCTTTTTTTTTCTGGCATGAGGTACATTCTTAGGTGGTTGTGTCTTGTCTGAGAAGATGAAAAAACCATCAACATTTCAATAATGTCAATCTGAATCATTCCTTTGTTCCGTTTGTTCATTTAATAGCAATTTTCTGCCGTCCCACCGTTTCATTTGGATTTCCCCTGACAAAAGAACCGCCCCCCCATAAGGTGTTTATTGCTGGTTTATGACCAACTCCAGGTTTAACTCTTGATATCCCAAAAGCCCAGGTCTCACTATAGCTTTGCTTTATCATTGCTGTGTGGAATTTAAACACTGCCTTAATCAGTCAAACTTTTCAATCAAACTTTGTTTCAAAATCCAAATGAAACAAAACAAAAACATATTGCTTAAAAATGACAGTCACCTTTATGCAAAGACCATCCACGTGTGATTAAGTGTCCCCCATTACATTAAATTCACTTTTCCTGTGTGTGGACCCCGCTGGACTTTGGACTTTGATGGTTCCTTGACGTATGCTTCCCCAAAATCTCCTCCTGAGATCAAAAGTCAGTTAAAGTCAGTTCCATTAGCAAAACCCGTCTGATTGGCGGGGTTATGTAGGTAGGATGATTGAGGGGGCGAAAGCGTAAAAAAAACCCCAGTCTGATAAGCCACGCGGCCGTCTTCGTTTCATTAATCACCTTCATCTGTGTCTGTGGTCAGAACGGGGGTCAAGAGACGGACGGAGTAACCCAAATCCCCTCCGAGTGCTCAAAGCCTCCTGCTTCATTAGGAACATCTGCTTGTCCCCCCACGCGCACGTCTTTGTGTATACGCATGGGCATCACTCTCTCCTCGCCCTCTGCGCGAGGGACCTCTGGTCCGAGGTCACGACCCCAGGATGCTCGGGTTGTGGGTGTGTGTGTGTGTGTGGTAGGGATTGTTTAATCGTTTGTTTTCCCGAGACACAAAGGCTCGTGCTGTTGCCAGTGACACCCTGGCGTGTGTGCGTTCGTGTGTGTGTGTGTGTGTGTGTGTGAGACGAGGAGTGGGCTGAAAACAGGATTAGTGTCATCAGGATCTAAGCCTGAACAGATCGGCAGAAATAAAGTCTTGCTGTACAGTAAGTGGTTCAGTTCAGGCCTCGTTCAAAGCGGATTTGATCATTAAAACATCATTTTGTTGGTCAAAGACTCGTAATGAACAGCGCGCGGTGATCATCATGTATCAGTGCCGACACTCAGGTCATCAATTATTGGTTAAATCAAGAGATTGAGACTTTAGTCCGTTATCATTTGGCAGGGTATTCTACATTCCTCCGGGGTGCGGCATATGTCTGCTCTTGTCGTTTCACTCTCAGCCCTAAAAATGTATGGCTTCACAATAAGGACAAGAGGCGATCATTACCGTAAATGATGACGTCGCATAATAAAGAGATCTGAACCGATTCCTGGAGGAATGAGACGTACAAACTGCTTTCTACTGTGAATCCCTACTGCTAAGAGTAGGGATTCACAGTATTAAAATTCCCCTAATGTGTTTATGATGAAGCGCATCAACGTATTGCTGGCCCCTGCTGTGACGATGGAGAGGGGTGTGTGTGTGTGTGTGTGAGTGTGTGGGGGGGGGGGGGTTGTTTATCACAGACCTGTCAGTCAAATTCTGTTTACACACAGATTAACGCAGAAATAATCTGTGCGTCAAGGAAAATTTGATCTCATCAGTTTGGATTTCTACCACTAAGGCTTCCTGAGATTAAACACAACACAGCTTCGGCAGCTTCGGCAATCACAACACTCCAAAAGACAACGGGGCCACAAACTTTTTCCCACTCTTCTTTTTTCTCATAATTTATTTACATTTTCCATTACTATTTCAAGAACATACTACTTAAGAACTAGTTTTTTTTTTTTACCCCATTCTTTGAGTTTCTTAGGTGATACAAAACGATAAAATCAGTGCGTCTTCTTTTGAGCGTTTTGTTAGCGATAGATTTTCTCCACCGTGGCGGTAAAATAGGAACTATATTATCTCCGGTGAGTATTTCCGCCTGCGGCGATACGTCTCATAAAACATGTTCTACTGAACTCACATGAGGTGGCTCTCTGGGAGCGCTGTGTGTGTGTGTGTGTGTGTGTGTGTGTGTGTGTGTACAGCATGTGTGCACTACACACACCCAGCACAGGCCTCTCCACAGCACACTACAAGTACATGACCTGTGCTCGTCGTGCACGCCGCCCTTTCGCCCCGTCGCTGTGGTTAAGCCGTGTGTTCGTTCCTCTGCGGGATTTGGACTCACTGTCTGCCTGTTGATGATAAACAAAAGGCTCCGGCTGTAACGCATTTGGGAGCCACTCTTGCCCCTTGCTTTTTATCGGCTTAGCCGCGCCGGTTTTAATCGCACGGGCCGGTTTATGTCGTCCCGCGCTGGTGTTTGTCTCGGAGATTTGAGGATCGCCCCCTCCTCCTTTGTCTCTCGTTAGGCCAGTGTCACCCAAAGAGGTTTACGAGGGGGGTGCACAGCTGAGTAGATTAATGTCTGCAGTGTGTGTGAGTGAAGAGGGAGGGGTCGCTATATGTGTGTCTGTGTCAGTCCTCAAGATCCTTCAGCTGTTCTGAGGGTGTTTTCTTTTTATGCCCCGTGGGAAATGTTTACGGTATGTGAGACAAATGGCACAACGTGGTAGTAAAGTGCTCCCTGAGCCCACTGCTTGCATGCATGCATATGTATATTTTGCATATGGATTTTTTGGAGCTATTAAAAAAAACTATATATTGGCAAGTGTGCACAGACAGAAAGCAGGTGCATTTGAAAGAGCAGACAGACACATAATGGGTTCAGTATAAATATTTAAAATACTTTATACAGCATAGAAATCTCTTGACACTTAAACAAAACCATCCATTAGAAAATCTTACAAAAGAACCCCCCCCCCCTCCACACACACAGCAAGTCTGTATCTCAGTATCAACCAGAAAAAAAAGGTACAAAGGAGTGATTTCAAATGTCAACAGTAGAGGTTGACTCGTGAAATATTGCATGCAACTTTTTCATTATGACAGGAAGAGATTCTAAAGCGTCTTAACATCAAGAAGCCTCGCGTTTCCAGGAAAATCTTTTTTTTTTTCTTTTTCTGAAGTTCGACAAACATTTTACAATCCATTCGTATAGAACGGAAGAAGTGACAGAAAGCAGATAACTATTATTTACAAGCACGGTTCTTAAATCACTCTCAGCGAGCTCTTGGCAAATACTCGTCATTGCAGTTAACACTTAAGACTATTGCACACTACAGCATTAAGACAAAGGAAGTGAATTATTTTCATAGATGTCACGTGATAATCCCACCTTGCCTTCTGCGAGGTTCATAAGTTTCATAAGGCTTTTGATGCTCTTTTTTTTTTCTTCATCTTTTCTTTTTTTTCCAAAAACTGCCTTTGAACAGGCTGGGAGGAAGTCAAAACGGAAACCGTTGACACATCCCCCTGGTTCGAGGTGCAACTCTTGTACGTAAAAAGCTACAGCTGTTACTTATTATCATTCATGTTCATGATTCATAAAAAAATGCTATAAAAAGCGAGAGCGTGACTCTGCTTGGGATACCTTGAAAACCGACGGCAGTAAACGCCCGGCGGCTGCGGCGCTGTGGCTAAATCCACGCAACCGAGTCGCCGTCTGCTGCACCTAAATGCTGACGTATGAACGATGCAGTGAGGTAAAAGATGTTGAACACCGTTGTTACTACAGGTTTTAAAGAATAGTGCATTGATACAGTGCCAGCGGGCTAGAAGTCAGCAGGTATCTCAGAGAGTGTTTTCACAGAGACAAAACATTTATACATTTAATCAGGGTTAGGGTAAGAGTTGGGATCTGTTAGCTGGTGGGAATCAGTATGCGCCTCAGTAAGTAACCAGTTACAGCAATATTACATCAGAGAATACCTCTTAACTAAGTTTATAATACAGTGTTTTGTGTGTATGTGTATTACATAACAACTCTGTCTCTAGGCCACAGCGAGGATTTTCAAATCTCATCTACTCAGCGTCACCACTTTTTAAATTCTTTCATTAAATGATCGGGTCGGTCTCGAAAAAAAAAATGGCTCAGTCGCAACAAAGGAACAGTTCAAAAGGCCGCTCTGGAAGACCTCTTCAACTTAAACAAAACGTTGAGTGGGGGCCTTGGGTTCAGTTCTATCTTTCTTCTTCCCCGCCGCGTCTCCCTCAGCAGAGGGTCTTCAGTGCGCCGGAAGCACAGAGGAGAGTCTGCATGGGATACGGCGGCGGGGACACCACCTCCTCGAGCACCTGTTCTGGCCGGAAGGAGAACGGCTGCAGCTGGACCTTCTTCTTCAGGAGCTGTCCGATTCCCATCGACGGGAACTTGCCGCGGTGCGTCGGGCTGTCGGGGTCGCTGCCGCCGGATGGTGGGCTGAAGGCCGAGGTGGGGTTAAGGGCGCTGAAGGCTGACTTTGGGGGGCTGAAAGCCGAGCCGCCGGGAGGGCTCCCTATCGTGCTGGGTGGGCTCCCGCTGGTGTCGGAGGAACCGCCCCAATCCGACGACACACTCTTCTTGGGCTGTGGGTTGACAATGAGCACGGGGGGACTGGGGATTGTGGCCTTCTTGAGGTACGAGGAGTCGGGCTGGAAGGCGGAGACGTGGCGCGGCGGGGACAGGGTGCCGTTGGTCAGCTTGTACCAGGGAGAGGCGGGCGACTCGTCGATTTGCTCAGCTTTGGAGAGGGAGCCGAAGGAGTGCATGCCGATGGGCGACGGCGCCGGCGGGGCCGGCATGTTGTGCTCGGGGCTCGTGTTGACTTGGGGCAGGGTGGCCAAGCGCCTCCGTTGCTTCGGGGTGTTGGAAAAGAGAGGTTGGATCTCTAGGTATTCCATGGAAGAGGAGGCGACGGTGCCGGGCGGCGCCAGAGGGGAGTTCCGGTGGCCACCAGTTATGGCCCTCAAAAGTCCTGGAAGGAGGAGACGCGTCGTTAGATAAATGGAACACCGGCAAAAGGAAAATTCAAAATGTAAACTGTTGCTTAACTCGCTGCACGCACACTCCAGAGAAATATGTTTTGGCTCAGTTTTGCACCCCAGGTGATAACCCGGGGGCATAAGAAGCAGTTGTAAAGCCACAAGGACATTCCGTAGATTCTGGATCTGATAGTAACAGCCTGCGGGCTTTCTCTTTTGCGCCAACATGCAAATGAGAAGAGGCCCCCAGACTCCGCCTACCAAACAATCTCTGTCTTACATGTCTTCACTTGGTAAGGCTGCTGTGTTGCTGTTTAGGATGAAATGAACAAATGACTTTCTCAAGTGTTTGCGTGTTCTCTCCACGATAAACTGGCAGCTTCTGCCAGATGTTTACTCTCAGGTGGATGGATGATTGGATGGTTGGACGGACGGACAGACAAACAGTGGATGGATGATTGGATGGTTGGACGGATGGTTGGACGGACGGACAGACAAACAGTGGATGGATAGATGGATGGGTGGCTGGACGGTTGGATGGATGGAGGTAGGAGTGGATGGATGACTGGGTAACTAAGTACGAGTGAAGAACATGCCTGCTCAGTCAACCTACCCTGTATGGATGAAGGTAAATAAAGTAGATGGAATAAATAAAGTGGTATTTAGAAAAGAAAAATGACAAATGTGCCCAATCCGCATCACATGATCCCTCACCTGTTCTGTGTTTCTTCTCCTTGCTGGGCCCCTTGGCCACAGCCAGGTAGACGGGGGTCTGCTTCGGGGGGATGGTGAGCTTGTCGACGTGCTTCCTCCACTGGGTCTGGAAGTATTCGCTTTTCTGCTTTTCTCCCTTCTTTTTTTCTTGGAACTGCATCTCCTAAACAGACAGGCCGCACGGCACATTACAACGGCGCTCAGCACTGGACGCAAACCTGCATTCAACACCTCGTAGTTCTTGGAGAAACTGAATTCAGCCGTAAATCAGTTTTAGAAACAATTTTGGGTAGAGTGTGTTTTGCGTCAGGGTTTGGATCGTTTCTTTATTGGTATTATCGAAGGAACAAGATGGCCTTACCCTGTACTCCTTGGAGAGTCTCTTCATTTTCTTGTTGAGGAGGAAGTAGACGGCCAGAGTGTGGCAGGCGCGGTTGGTGAGGACGGCGCTCAGCACTTCGCTGTGCTTGTAGGACATCTTCTCCGTCATGTGCAGCAACACCGTGTGGTTTATTTCCTCGATGTGGATCCTGCGAACGCAGAGCGAGAAACGTAAGGCTTTGCGGCGCCTTGAAATCAAATTGATCAAAAAGGGATTTCTGAGAAAAGAGAGTCAACGGCGAGAAAGATATGAGGCTTTAGATTGCGTGTGAGTCTACCTGTTGAGGTACGGGGCCCCCGTGTTCTTGTTGGCCAGCTGCAGCCAGGAATCCGCCATGACTTGATGGATATTGGGACGCTTGTTGGGATCTGGCTCGAGAAGCTTCTTCAGGAGACAGATAGCAGCTGAGGAAGAGAAATAGAATACACATAAGCGATGCCTACAACTGCGCTCAACTAGTTCACTCAAAGGTGTTTGCACATTTCTCTCTCGGCAGATGCAGCACTATGAAGCTGAGCATGAATATTGCCTCTTTTTCCACCACCAGAAAGTTGGAGGACAGGTACACGTCTCCTAACCCTTTTGTCCTGTCCTACCTAACGAACTTAGCCTTCACCCTCGTCATCAGCTTTCATTCTGTCACAACATAAGAGGGATGAGATGACACGTCCACGTCGTTGGCTTAATAAATAGTTCCTTACATAACCGGGTTAAGCAATCCCCCAACTGGTGTTTGAGAGGGACAAAAGCAGCTGCGATACGAGTACTTCCAGCAAGGGTGTATGCGCACTCTGTGTTCCCTCGTAAAATGTCTTCACGCTCAATTTGTTAGACAATAATCCTTTTTTTTAAATTACATTTTCTTTCAAAGCCTTAAAAAAAAAAAAAGTTCTGCCGTTGCATTGCACAATTTCCAGTTCATTATCGTCTCTTGCGTCTCTTTGCAGAAACCCGACCATCAACATTCTTTCTCTTGCGGGCAGTCGTAACCTGAAATTACACGCCGTATATATCCCGACTCCACTCTGGTGTCAGCTTAATGACAGGGATGAAAACGATATGCGAGTATCTGTCAACGTATCCATCTGAAGGCAGATGAGTTGAAAGGTATACTGTTTCCCCCCCCCCACCATGGTCAATCCTTGATTATTCACACATGTGTTGAGTGCGCTCGGTGTCTACCTGTGGAGAGTGAGGGAGGCAGAGGGTTCATCTCCTTGTCCACCATCTTCTGGTGGAGGGCTCGGAGACTGAAGGGCTCCACAGTGAACGGAAGCGTCCCGGTCAACATCGCGTACATGTTGACGCCGCTGGGGGATCACAAACACACACTCTTTAGCTTGATGGGAAATAATCAAATATACGTATTTAAACAAGAGCTTTGGCAGCAACTGATGACTTTTTGAAGAAAGAAGAAAAAAAAGCGGCGTGCACTCACATGGACCAGACATCCACCTTTGGCCCGTACTTCTTCCTGGAGAGCAGCTCCGGGGCGGCGTAGGCGGGACTTCCACACTGGGTGCTGAAGGGGTCCGAGTATCCTAGGATGCCGGCGCAGTTACTGAGGCCAAAATCTGAAAGGGACAATGGTGGATTGAGTGTTTTTCTTCTGGGTTTATTACACTCGTTGAACAAATTGCCCCATCACAGCGTTACACACACACACACACACACACACACATATGCACATGCACAAACAGAATAGCACATTAGCACTAATGTGAGAGCTTGTAAACGGTTTAACAGGATATTTAATTGCTCTTTGCTCTTCACCACATGTCGGACACTGTGACTCCCACAGAGAAAACCTTTATATTACTGTAAATCAACCGAGGACAAATTATTTTGTCCTTCATTTCTCGATTGGAATTCTTGTCTTTGAAGTGGGACATTTTGTATTTAAATGAATTCATGGAAATTTGACACGTTCATTCCCAGGAAAATGCAGAGACGCAGCGTTGCACTGGACAGGAACAATAAACAATACACTGCAAACGTAAGAGGTCTTGAGTTACCGATGAGCTTGATGTTGTCCTGCTCATCCAACAGGAGGTTTTCTATCTTCAGATCCCTACGAAACAAAGAGTGTCTGTGTTTACATATGATTACTTATCATAGTCACACAATGCACAAGCAGGAGAGGTCACAAACCCCACCCCCCCTCAACATCCCCCACCCCGACATAAAAACAAGCCCCCCCCTCAATCTGGGTCACGCTGGCTGATTTCCAGGATCCATTGTTGTTTTGTCAGATGCCTCCTCAGTCTCAGCAATCCTGTTACACAGTTATCTCCATCTCCATGATTGAAATTTAGTTCCCAGGCTCTAAGCGACAAATAATTGAATATCGCAGGAAGGGGCTCAGAAATTTAGATCTGAAATTTGATTTGGAAATAGTTCATGTGTCTTTTTTTTCCCACCCATAATCAAATCAAACATTTTATTGTGAGAATATTTGGTCTGCATCAATTCTTCTAACATTTGAGAGCAGTGTGTGGTTGTTTTTTTTTTTACCTGTGCACCACTCCCGCCCTGTGCAGGTGCTCCACGGCCAGCACCAGCTGCCGGATGTATTTCTGAGTCTCCCGCTCGTCCAGGCGCTTCTTGTCGTAGATGCTGTTCATGAGGTTCCCGCCGGGACACAGCTCCATCACCAGGTAGTAGCTGTTCTCCGTCTCCAGGATGTCCAGCAGCTGCGTGATGTTTGGGTGGCGGATCATCTGCTGGATGTGGCCCTCCCTCCGCAGGTTCTTGGTCACGTACGAGTCCTTCTTGGCCTTCCGCTTGTCGATTACCTTCACCGCCACCTGGAAGAATCGAGGCAGGGGGCGTTGTGAATTGTACCCAAGAGAGGCCTAGTGCACCGCCAGTTCTTGGAGCGTTTCCAGTGTAACAGGTGACAAGCTGCTGAGTCTCCATTGCGGGGTATACAACTCAACACTGACCTCTCCCTCGCAGCTGCTCCCAATGTGGGGCAACCCAGGCGCTATAGGGCCCTGGGGCTGCTGGGGAGGGAGATGGGGGGAGGCGTGTGTGAGAGAGTGTTTCCCCATTCGCGTCAAAGACGTGGCTAAACACACACGAGACTCAACAGACTGAAGTGATTCCCAAATGTATTGTAAAAAAAAAAAAAAAGCCAACTTTTCGCCATGTTTCTCCACCCTTATTGTGTCACTGGAGGATAAACTTGCAGTCTCCTCATAAAATCCAGAGAACATGTCCTTTATGACAGACTTCTCCCCCTTGAGCTAATTACATTCAATAACTCTATTTCATCCTCTGTCCCGCTTCTCCTTGTGTGCCGTCTAGACTGAGGTCAAGAGCACGGCTATCATCTACAGCAAATCATCTCAAGGAGAGCCCACCGACATGGAAAGGCACGACCGGCAAAACGAAGCACCATGTCCATTAATGCAACGGTGAGGGACAAAGTGGCTGTTGGTGTGTCGTCTCTTCCCTCTGTCCTTCAGCTTGTCTTTATCTTTTTTATGATTTCGTCCTTTCATCTCTGATAATTCATTCACCTATGAAAAGCTTTCTTTTCTTTTTTTACAGAAGCTAATTAAACCTGCTGGAGTGTGTGTGTGTGTGTGTGTGTGTGTGTGTGTGTGTGTGTGTGTGTGTGTGCGTGTGCGTGTGTTGAGCTCACAATACAGTTATAGATGGCCGTGTTTACGCCGGGCAGTGTGGAAACGAGAAGGGGTGTTGGGTGTATGGGGGGCACTGTATTTACAGTAGGCTACAGTCTATATGTAGAGAGAGGGGCGTGGGGAGGGGTGGGGATATAGAGGGGGGGAGGGGTGTGCCCAGCCAGGGGGCTTCTTGGGGATTCAGTTGTTTATCAGGCGCCCCTCAGACAGAAAGGAGGGGGTTGGAGGGGAAAGTGGGTTACAGACATCAAAAACACATGCATGTGACCTCCCAGGCCCTCTGCCCACGACAGCACCATCTCTCACCTCACACACACACACACACACACACACACACACACACACCAAACTGACTTTCTAGAGATGCTAAAAAAAGGATCTGGGACTCCTCCTGTACTGTATTCCCCACTCTCCACTATCCTTTTGCTTGAATAAACTGACTGCCCTCCCAGCGCCCGTGGGACCCTGAATGAGAGAGGGAGAGTGTAAATAGAGGGAGCGCATGTGCTGTGCTGGGTTTGTGTGATTGCCAGCGTTTGCATCATCCTCAACAAAGAGCCCAGCGAGGTATAAGGGAAGAGGAGAGGAGCGCTTTCTTTGCTCCTCACAGAAACAGAATCGGGAGGGGAACCGGATGAGTATTTATTATGCTTAAATAGGAATCTTAGTGGGACATATTCTTTTGTACACGGGTACAAACATATCTCGGTCTTCATTAAGGGCCAATTGAGGAAAAGCGGCTTCTTGTTTTTTCAATATGTAAATGTGCTGGCTGCCCCTCAAAAACAGCCTTGGGAGACAAAGGCAACCAGTGGCCAATGGTGGCCCCATAATCAAAGCCCTGTGCTGACGGAATCGTAATGAGAATGAGGGCCATTTATCAACAACATGATATAATATGCAAGTAGCAGCCCTGCGCTCTCATAGGCCGAACAATTTCCCCCCTCCGTCCCTATCACAGGCCGGCTCGCACCCAGCGGTGAGATCACCAGCCAAGACAAAGAAGAGGTTCAGAAAAACACCCAGTTACCCCACACATCTCCCTCACACACACACACACACACACAATAAATACTGTCACTGGCCAGAAAACAAGCCATGCTCTGTGTGTGTGTGTGTGTGTGTGTGTGTGTGTGTGTGTGTGTGTGTGTGTGTGTGTGTGTGTGTGTGTGTGGTGCCGCATGGGCTCATTATGAAAACCTCCCATTGCGATCAGGGCTCATCACTTTCTCTGGGAAAGCTGAGAAGTGCTTCCTGAACTAAATCACTGTCCATTCTATACAGTGAGCACTTTGGCTGAGTGTGAAACCATTCAGGCATTGCATTTATAAAAATAAAAAAAACAATGGCTATTTTGTTCATCAAAAGTTTTTTTTTTTTTTTTTTTAAATGTAAGCAATCCCGTGAACTAAATGAACTTCAATTGGTTAAGGCAGGCGACAGGATCACACGTTGCTTTGAAATAAAGCCAATGACAAACACAAATATACAAGAATAACAACTAAAAACAACATATCACACACACACACATTCAGAACCCTGCTGCAAAGCTCCCCTCCAGTCTCACCTTCTCCCCGGTCATCGCATGGAGACCTTCTCTAACTTTGGCGAACGATCCTTCTCCCAGCTTCCTCCCGATCAGATAGTTCCCGACCCGTTTGGTGTGGTAAAAGTTCTTGAGGATGTCCGCCGCCGGGCTGTACATCGACGCCGGAAGCATGCCTTCATTCCCGGCACTGTTTGGGTCGTTACCCTCATATAACCCGTGGCTGTTGTCGACCACCATGTCGGTGTCTGCAACTGGCATCACAGCGACCCTTCGTCCAGCGGTCCGTCTTTTAACACGGATGGGGCGGGTGGAGGGTTTTACGCAGCTCGCACGTCTCCAACCTTGAAGACGGGTATTAAATGCTTAACGTGCCTGCGTCTTGCCCTTAATAACGAATTAAGGGGAACCGGAGCTCGCGCCACCTGTTCGGGCCAAAAAAGCATCCAGTGCGCGCGCGCGCGCTCAGCGGATTGCGGTCGGCGTCTCAGCGCAGATTGAAACGACACTGGAAAAAAGTGTCACCCTCAATCGTGGGAAGTTGTAAAGTGACGCAACATGTCTTCATACTTGTGAAGGTTTTTTGTTGCTGTTGTCTCTTCAGAGAGGCTGTCAGTGCGCGCGCGCTTCTGCCTGCTGCACACGTGAACGTCTCCTGAACAGTGTGCGTGGAGGCAGCGTGTTGTTCGGTTTGAACTGACTTTACCGGTCACACGGGGGGGCGTTTCTTAGTGTGAGGGTGACAAAAAACAACGCACTCAATCGTCCGTTCGGTGGTCGTAGTAGAGGGTGTATTTCAATCCAATCAGCAAGGAGACGGGCGGAGCACATGTGAGAACAAGGGGGAGGTGTAAAGGGGGGGCAACTCGACCCGGTCCCGCGTGGTGCGCGCAGGCTGTACACGCCTGTGAACAAAGGCTTTTTTTCTTTCTTATTTACAAGCCCTGCATGAATGCAACAGCATAAGTATTTAGATATTTGATGTATTTTTCTCCACACGCTCTTCTGCTTTTGTCGTCCTCGTTGTAACTGTAACGTTAGAATGGTGCGTAAAGGAATGATTTGTTGACATCATGTGCTTTGCGCCGCGCAGCCCCAAACGCGCAGAGGCGCGCACGCTGCAGCAATTCTCCATGGCCTACTTAGTGCCATCTTTTTCAGCGTGTTGTTGTCGGTTGTTGCTGAACTTGTCATGCTGCCAATATAATAATAGTTGTGACCTATAAACCAGCCGCAAGCAAAGAGGCGTTTTCCTTCACGGAAGCGCTCACTGGTCTAATTAACATGGTGTGCATCACTCGGATGAGACACCTGCAGGGTGGGGCAAGAGTTTGAGGCATCTTTTTTTGTTTTTCGTCCTGCACTTGTGTTCTGGTTAAGGTTAATTCGACTTAATAAGATGATATCATATGTTATCCTACAGGAGCAGAAAAAAAAAACAGAAACACTTGACAGTATGAAATGCGATAGAATAACTGTCCTATAATGTGAAACATGTTTGTTTTATTTTTGAGTCTGCCAGGGAGGTGTTGATAAAACTCCGAACCTCATTGTTAACACAGATGTGCTCTGTTTGGTTCACTCCTTGTTCCTGGGAGTGAGAATAACACACCTGCCTACTGGACCATGCTTTCGAGACACCAAACCAGACACTGAGGCATTAAACCAAAAGTATGAGTATAGCGCCACCTGTTGGAGTAATGCTTTACTACAAGAACACAATCAGACTTATAGTAATAATGCAATGAGTTATTATACCTGCTTTCTTGCTGAGCTTTTCCACTCTCCATTCTCCTTCATTCTTAATAATTATTATTTAGAGCATGAAGTTTGTTAATCCTTGTAATTTAATAGTATCCTGTAAGAAAGATACACACCACGAAAGGCATCGTTTGACACAGGAAACACAACTCTTGTGAAGGAATCAGTTAATCATTTGCAGATCGTTTTCAATTAAAAGTAGTTGCAGATGTCATGATGTTTAATCCGAGAAGCATCACAACACTATAAAAGTGTGTATTTCCCCAAAACCATTGTAACGTATGACACTTCGACGGTAGATGTTGTAATTAACTCAGTCCCAGCAACATTGGAAATTGCTGATAGAAATATAATAGAAACTGCTACTTAATTTCTATTGTACTGTCATTGTGTACCAGTAATTTCAATCACGAGCTTGGTTTCATGGTTTAGCCTGAGGTCACGTGATACTTCGACATAGTGGGCCTAAATGTGATCGGCGCCTTTATTAAATGGTTTGAACAAAACCGAAGATCATTCAGCTCATCAAGGCACCCAAATACACAGAAAACCACCCAGGATCACTCCAGCAGCACAGTCGCCAAAAGAACCCCGCCACCACGTGGCCAAAACCTCGAACAGCAAAACAGAATCCCATCATGCTTTGCCCGCCGACGCCAAGAGCTACCGATGCTAAGCTAACTGTCGTTAGCCACTGGGAGCGGACATGTTGTACCATTTGCTTCCTTGAATAAACACCGCGTTTAGCCGGGAATCAGGAGTTCGGAGGACGGCTCGTAGCGTCGGGCAAACATGGATGCCGTTAACGCCTTTAACCACGAGGTAAGCCTCCCCCCCCGCGGGGGCTCGCCGAGACCCCGCAAGCCGCCGAGTCTGTGCGCCGCTGGTCGCAGCGCTGTGTTGCTGTGGAGCTAGCCGCGCAGCTAGCCGCGCCGCTAGCCGTGCGGGACTGACCAGTGGGCCTGCCGGGCGAGCTAGCCGGACCCGTGCGTCGCACCTGGCTTTAAGACCGGCCGACTTAACGTCTGCGACGCGGGTGCACCTGCAGAGCGAGTCGTGCCGGTACTGAACCAAACGCTCAGGACTTTATGCTAACTAGCGAGCTAACGCAGCGCCATATTCAACAGTATTGTAACGCTCGCTCAAAAAGTTCGCAAGACCCGCCGTTTGCGTCGGCGCTCGAGAGCAGTTGTGATGGAAACAAGCCTGTTGGCAAACACACGGCCGCCATTGTCGTTGTCACGGCGCGCCGACCGAACGCTCTCAGCCGCCTGAGGGACGCGCACAGCCGCAGCGTAGCAGCCGCCGGGCCGGGTAGCTGTGAGGGTCGAGGCCCGAGGTTCGGTGCTGGCCCACTCGTAAGACGGCTCAAGTCATCCACTGGTGTTTTTTTTGCAATGGTTCCTTTCGTGTCTGCTGATGTATGTTCCGAGCGTTGAACATAAACAAAGCTGTCGTAATATATGTTTGTGGCAGCAGATCGATCGATCGATCAATCAATCAATAAATAAGCCCCGCGAGCTGGTTCGTGATGCATGTGTTGGACCCTCAAGAGGATTTTCTGGCAGAGAGAAAGTTTACTTTACACAAATGTAAACAGAGCAAACCTGTTCTTCAGTACTGGACTTTTTCAAATTAAAATCCCATTGCGCCAACCTGCTATGAAGAGGGTTTAGTGTCCTCAGAAACAGACCCCGTGCCAACTGTGTGCTGTTTATTCCTGATTCATTTGTACTGCAACGATCTCATTAGTGGCAACTGATCGGTGATCAAATTGACAAAATTATAGGTTATCATCTATACATAATCATTAAATGGGGACAAGCCTGTGTTAAGTTTAGGATCCACATGATATAAGATTCATTGATTTTTCCAGTTTAAATGATTGGCATCACCTCTGAATCCCCTCCAGCAGTCTTTCTCCTCTCTGGCCGTCTGTTCCTCTCTTCCTTCTATCTCACCCACCCGTCATCTATTCTGTCTCTAGTTATTCTCGCTGATGGACTCCAAGCCTCCGATCTCTCGGGCTAAGATGATCTCCATCACCAAATCGGCCATCAAAGCTATGAAAGTAAGAAATCGTTTGTCATTCCTTCGTTATAAGAGTTACTCTGTGTTGTATACTTTAATTATAAGTCCAATCTAGGTGATGACCTGCTCTCTCTCGCTTTTCTCTTTCTCAGCTCTACAAACATGTGGTCCAAATTGTAGAGAAGTTCATCAAAAAGGTGGGACAAGCCTGTTGTACATTCGGTCATCGCCCTTTTCCATCTTACCAAACGTGAACTAACCCACCATCTGTTTCCACATCTGTTCTTGCTAGTGTAAGCCGGAGTACAAGGTAGCTGGCCTGTATGTGGTGGATTCCATTGTTCGGCAGTCGAGGCACCAGTTTGGATCCGACAAGGACGTGTTTGGCCCAAGGTTTACCAAAAATATTACAGGAACCTTTGAGAACCTCTGCCTTTGCCCAGTACATGAGAGGGTAAGAAAACAAAGCAATATTCTGCAACCTTTGGACTGTTGTATTCACATTGTGATTGAAGGATTTACCTTCCTCCAACGGCAAATCCTGACCTAAATCAGCTTCCTGTAATTCCCCTCGCTTTCTTATTTTCCTTTTGTAGAGTAAGATTGTGCGGGTGTTGAATCTATGGCAAAAAAACAGGGTGTTCAAGATCGAGGTTATTCAGCCCCTCCTGGACATGGCAGCGGGCTCCAGCAGCGCCGCTGCATCCTGCGCAGGCTCAGATGACCCAGGTAATTTGTGTGTTTGTACCCAGGAGGCCGTAGTGACTTCCATGATATGATCTTTTCATTCACCAGTGGGGTTGGGGGGGGGGATGTACATTTGCTTTGTGGAGAAATGAGAAAATATTTGTGATATTGCATTTTATAATTATAGAGCAGTTTTTCTGTGCAACCTTATGATTTAGACAGATAAAACCTGTGTGCCCCCCCCTCCCCCCATATCCCGCCTTCTACACACATGTGGTGTTTCTCTCCTCAGGTTCTTCCCCACCTCCCGCCAAAGAGACAGTTTCTGGGGTAACCGGAAACTCCACCACAACATCCTCTGTTCAGCTGCAAAACGCCGATGCCTTTGCCGCTGTGGCACAACTCTTCCAGTCCACGCAGGGTCAGCAGGTGTGTGTGTGTGTACCAGGGCACACCTGTTTAAGCTTTGACCACACTCATTTTGCTTTTATTATCTTTGCTTCCCTCTTAAACCGCCCCCCCCCACCCTACTAATACCTCCACTTTCACTATTTCCCTGCTATTTGTTTAGCTTCAACAGATGCTCCAGAACTTTCAGCAGCAGCCCGGGATGCTAGACGCCGACGCTCAGCCTGCGGTCCATGCCAGTCAAACACAGGCTCCAAACGTTACCTCTGGTCCGCCCGCGGTCGCCCAGCAACCGCCTCTTCTCAGCCAAGCTGCCCAAGCTGCCCAAGCCATCCAGCAGAAAGCCGCCTTTGACAAGGTTGAAGTGCGTTTTTGTATTTGCATATGCTCTCCTCAACTTTTTATATGCAGAACAACATTTCATTGGTCAGCCACTGTTTCGACATCTTGTTGGACAGTGCTTTGAGTATAATTTGTTTATTACCGTCATTACCTCTCTTAGAAACTGCTGGACCGCTTTGACTATGATGATGAACCAGAAGTTGGAGAAGAAACAAAGAAGGATGAATCTCATGCCTCCTTGTAAGCATTTGATTTATTGTGCATGATGCAGCAGCTCTGCAATGGCAAGAAAACGACATGTGCTGACGCGCTGATTGATATAAAAAAATAAATAAATGAATTCATAGCTGTGAAGCTAATGGGTTATATTTGATCCTTTAGTATGCAACAGCCTCCAGCCTTCCAACAGCACTTTCAACAGCCAGGGATGTTGCAAGACTTCTCACAGGTAATAAGTGCAAACCTTTCTAGTTGTATAAGTCACATTTACAGCATACTCACTTTTCAATTTTTATATTCCTTTTGTTAATATTACATGAAACTTTTAAATACCAAAATTTACGTTTGTCTTACCCTATTACCATACCTTATTATTACGGTTGTATATTATATTTACAATGGACAGTGTAATCTGAAGTCAATCTTTTCATACAAATAAGTAATGCATACACAAATCAGGGTAGGTACAAATAATTTCCTTTCAAATTAATTTTAGATTTAGAACCCCCTGTTGTATGCACATTATTTATCATTCCAGTTGTCTTTCTTAGGTCCCTCTGCCTCCTAATGGCCAGCTGCAGGCTTATGGTTTACAGCCAGGACAAAGCTTCCCAGTTATGATGCCTCCTTTGGGTCACGCTTTGCCTGGGCAGCCCCTCCCCAGTTCTACTGGGCCTCCAGGCTTCCCAGGGCTGTACCCTCCCCCCAATGCAGCCCAGCAACAACAGGTAGATTTAAAAATAGTTCCAAGGGTGTTCAGCATCTAACATGTCATTGTAAGGTTACATTCTGTTAAAGGGAACTTCCAGTATTTTTATTTTTATTTTTTTTACATTTTGCAATAAACTGATGAACATCTAAATGTTGTCACCAATTTATAACCATGTATTTGCCATATCATTTAAGGATTCAATTGATATGGACCATTCATCAATGAGGGATGGCAGACATGGCCGACGATCGCACTCAGGCTCCAGGTAGGCATCACAAATGGAACAGACCTTCTCTCTCACATTATTTTGTTTTATGTGGATACGCTTTTGAACATATCAAAAAATGTCTATTTTTCCTCCTCCAGATCTCCAAAGCGAAGGAGGTCACGGTCTAATTCCCGTACGCGGCGGTCCAGGCACAGGCGATCGCGCTCCCACTCCAGAGACCGGCGACACCATTCCCCACGCCCTCGCTCGCTGGAGCGCAGGGAGAGGGAGAAGGAGCGAGAGCGGCGGCAGAAAGGCCTTCCAGCACCCAAGAGCGAGACACTCAGCAGTGAGTCATTCCTTATTTAATTATTTAAATGACCCGTTTGATGGATCCGTTTTCAGTAGTTTTAAAAAATGTTTTATCTGTCTCCTTGACAGTTTGCAGTACGACTCTCTGGGTGGGCCAGCTGGACAAGCGAACGCAACAGCACGATGTTGCCTCCTTACTGGAAGAGTTTGGGGAAATAGAGTCTATAAATGTAAGTTTTGACGTGTATAGGTCAGTTTATGCGCTGTGTCTTTTGTAACAATATGCAATACCGAACCCTTTGTCCTCCTCCCTTGTTAAGATGATTCCTCCACGTGGCTGTGCCTACATCCTCATGATAAATAGGCAGGATGCCTTCAAGGCTCTGCAGAAGCTCAGTAGAGGATCTCACAAAGTGAACCAGAAATCCATCAAGGTGAGTGAGCAACGCAGGCTGCTGCTTAGAAAAAACAAATGGGAGAAAACTGAGAATTGTCTCTTCAATCAAGAGTTGTTTTTGTTAATTTCCTGCCAGATTGCGTGGGCCTTGAACAAGGGCATAAAGGCCGAGTTTAAACAGTACTGGGACGTGGAGCTGGGTGTGACCTACGTACCGTGGTCTAAAATCCAAGAGGCTCAGTTGGAAGAGCTCAAAGAAGGAGGCATCCTGGATGTAGACACCTTATCGCCAGGTAAGAGCATTAGGAAATCCTACAAACAAGACATACTGTAAGCTCTATGGGGGTGTCAAAATTGCTCAAAAAGGACATTAAAATGTTCGCTTCAAAAAATGACAAATATTTGAATATCTGGTTGCGCATTAGGCACGTCAATAACCGGACAAATTTATACAACGCGTCTCGTCTCTTTTCAGAGTGGAGCGGAGTGAGGAAGTCTCTCGGCCTTCAGGAGGAACTGACCCACAACGGCCGCTCGGAGCTCCAGCAGCCGGAGGAAACACAAGTGCCACCTCCGGCTGCCGCGGCGGCTCCTCCTACACAGGTAAACAACATCGACAAGATGTTACTAGTGTAACATTCTCGGATTAAACAATTAGTTATATATGATGTTAAAGAACAGAGTGATTGTAAGATATTATCCTGAAACATGTAGTTATGGCAGCGATTCCGGTACGGATCATGATACAATATATCGCCCTTCTTTTGTAGTTGGAAGAACTCACTGCCTTTTACATAACAAATTACGGTTTCTTTTCATTTTTGATCATTGCACCGTCCAGCGCTTTTTGTACAATCTGAGCCACTGTTTCCCGTAAATGGTTGCATATATACAGTATATTCATTAAAAATATTTGGTGTGTGTGTATATATATAATATATATATATATATATATATATTTTTTACAGTATTTGAAGCTAATGAATTTATATTTTCTCACACACCAACTGAGCTCAATTCGAGGAAAGTATAACAAATACATTTGTCACTCAATCTTAATTGAATCCCTGTAAATGTTCTCAGGTTCCTGCGATGCAGCAGCCGATGGTTGGTGTGGGTTCTCTCCAGCCCCCTGTTTTCCCCGGGCCCATGGGCATGCCTCCGCCTTCCTTCCCCCCGGGCATCCCCCCTCCTCCGTTCATCCGACCTGGCTTCAACCCCATGCAGATGCCTCCAGGTAGCGACTTCCTTCAGCCGCCATCAGTCTCTAACTGGCTTTCCTCCAACTCAAATGGTGTTAATTGCTACTGAAAGAAAGACGTGCAGCATTGAACTGCTCCTTTGTGTATCTGGTGTCATAAGTAGCTGATGATGAAACAAGCAGGGGGAAAAAGACAATGGGGTGGGGGGATTTAATTAAGTTACTTCTTCATAAACCCTTGCGGCTGCTTTTATCAACAAATCCCCTTTTCAGAGGCTGTAGTCCAAACCGATTTCCACACGAGCTAAAACAAACTCAACCCCAACTCCTCTCCCCGTTCTGCTCCCAGGTTACCCTCCCCCGGGGACCATGCCCCTCGGCCCCCTTCCTCCCCCCAAAGGTGGCGTTGAAGACCCGTCTCTGGACCCGATGGGTCTGGGCAACAGGAAAAATGACGAGATCCCAGAGGGTCCCAACATCTTCAACAACCAGATGGGACTCATGGGTCAGTCGAACTTTCTCTGCTCTTTTTAGAATGAGTGTTACTTGAGCTTGTTCCTTAAAACTGGGGGGGGTATCTCATCTAAACAAAATGTGCATTGGATGAATTGTTTCTGAATCAATCCATTTGATGATGATGTCTAGTTGGATTAGATAATTGAAGTTAAGGTTGTGTCTAGTGACATGTCTTAGTTTATGCTTCTAAAAGTTTACATTTTGAACCTTCCTTGAAAGTTGGGTAAACATCAAAGCTGTATTTTGTATTTCTTTCCTTGCCAGGTAACCAGTTGGGTGGACCTCCAGGTTCCCTCCCCGGTGCTCCTCCTGGAAACATCCAACCCCCTCCTGGAGGTCTGCTTGGCGCACGGCCTGGTATAATTCCCCTCCAGCGTCCTCCGGTCCCCCCGCCACCGCACATGCAGCGTTTCCCCCCACCCCACGGGCCACGGCCCCCTCACCACAACATGCCACCTATGCCCCCACAGATGATTGCAAGAGGGCCCCACCCTCAAATGATGCACCACGACCCGCCTCCGCTTAAAGGAGGCTTTGGAATGATGTCTCCCCACAATATGAGGGCTCCCTTCCCTCCGCATGGGCAGGGCCCCCCTCCTCCGGGTCCTCCCCCTTTTATCAGACCGGGGGGGCCTCGCGGCCTGGAGGGGCCAGAAGAAACGGATGGTAGACCATTCAGGGGAGACAGGCCTGCGTTCAGGGACAGAGAGCCAGAGCGGGACAGGGACTGGGACAGGGACAGAGAGCGGGACAGAGGTTTCGGAGGTGGAAGGCGTCCATTTGGCGACGGAGGGAGGGGTGGGGGCGGGGACAGAATGGAAGGGAGGGACCGACCCGGAGGATGGCAAGAAGATGGAGCAGGTCAACGTGGGGGAGGGTGGGAGAGGGACCGCGATCGGGACAGAGACAGAGATCGGGAGAGAGACCGCGATCGAGACAGAGACAGACGCGACTGGAGGGACAAGAGGAACAGTCTGGAGAGCGACAGGGAGCGGGGGAGGAGCGACGATGGGGATAGGGACCGAGGGAGGGCAGAGGGAGGAGAACGGGGAAAGGTAGAAGGAGGGAGTCTAGACAGAGGGAAGAGAGCTGAGGGAAAAGAAGGGGACCGTCCGAGGCGGTCCGAGAGACGAGAGAGGACCACCCGCTGGGACAGGGACGATCGATTGGCGGACCTGGAAAACAAGGAAAGACTTCAGACCCCTAATGCAACAGAGCAAACGCCTGTGACTCCTCTTGTAACCACGGAAACGGGCAAAGAACCAAGTGCGGAGGCTTCTGAAAAGAAGGCCGATTCTGAACTTTTAACTCCAGAGGCCACAACCGCCGCAGAAGAGCGGACGCCTTCTGTGCCCTCGCCCTCAGCTCAAAGTGAGCCCACGGAAACAAAACAGGAAGCAGCAGCAGAGATCGGCTCACTGCTCCTTCAGCCATAGACTGCTGTCAACCACTGAATGATGATTATTATTATTATTATTATAAATATTTTTTTTTTTTTATAAAAGGTCTTTTTCACAATGATCGGCGTCCTCATCTCCTGGCATAAGTTTTCGATAATGTTTGCCAGTGGGTGATTGAACCTTTACGAACCACCGTCTCCCAGACGTGTTGTCAAACGTATGTAAATGGCTCTTTTCAGAAATACTTGTTTATGGTCAAATCTGGCTTCGCATCTCCTTCTGGGAACATGACCACGTGAAAATCATTTAGGTTAAATCGTTGTAGTTAAACTTGTTAATTTTCCCTGCAGGATGAAAGAACGAACGGAGTGTTTGCATGTTGTCCTTTCTAGGTTAATTGAGCGTAGCTTTTATGTTTTTAAGTCGACAGTGAAAACATATTTAGTTCTATGACACAAATGTATTTTTTACTTCATTGCCTTATCTGCGAGATAGCAGGCCCTCCTCAACCAGGTGAATATGTTCATTTTAAAACTTCAAGTCGAACACTGAATATCTTCCCCTCAAACAAACAATTTACTTCATTTTCTCTTGTTTTCATGTCATCTTGTGCTTCATATCCGCCCTGTCCAACCGCCTGTAATGCACAGCATTGAAAGGCCAATCAAGTACGTTGTAGGTGTATTGAATTAGGAAGGAAAAGTACATAGACGTGTTGGTAAATCCCTCCAAGAATTAGGTTTGCTACTTTGCTGACACCAATTTTGATTATGTCCCGGCTTTTTATTCTTTGAAACACTTTTTATTTCAGGTAGAATATTGTCTTGGTTATACCTGCTGCTTGGGTATGTATAATACATGGTTTTTATTGAAATTGTTATGTCTACCACTTGTATTGGAACAGAAATGTTGCCCAAACACACACATCATCATAAGACTTCGGGAATCGAGAATGCTTCCCAGTCATTTATTATGCGGTTCTTATCCAGCTTTCACTAATGGTCTTTTAATTCTTTGTGTGTGTGTGTGTATGTATGTATGTATGTATGTATGTATGTATGTATATATATATATATATATATATATATCTTTTTTTTGGCAAAACATTAAACATTGTGGGGACTCGGAACCTAGGACTTTTAACGGTGGCATATTCAGAAAATCCAATTAGGCATTTTGACGTAACATGGACAAAAACAAGTTCAATTCGGGTCATGATGATACCGTATAGATCTCCCCTGTAAAATTGTGGTTGTAAAGAAATCAGATGTTATATAGATATTGGTACGCATAAATAAGGAAGAGTGATCCTATTTACAATAACTTTGCACCCTGTTCAAAAACTGCCGAAAACTAAAGTAAAAACAAGAAGAAATGAGATCTTTTGTCCTGGCGTCCTGGCTTCTGTTTAATGTTTTGACAAGTACTTTTCAGAACTAACATCAACGTCACAAAGGACATCACATCACAAAGGAAGTATATTTCTATTGGCATTTCAGTGAACTTCATGTCTCTTTCACTGCAGAGCAGCTTTAACTGAAATTACAGCTTCAAGATCAGATTCTACAAATTCAGCCCTTTCTAAAATCTATTTACCAAATACTAAGGAGACGGAATGAAGAGATTTGCTTGCGACACGCTGCTGTAAATATGCTTGTATCACTGACGATTCAGAACTGTATTTGTTGTTCATGATCTGTGATGCGTTTATGGTGGAGGAGGAAATTGACTGGGAAGGAACAACGAAGAAGTCTTGCTTTAACATTTTTCCTGAGGGTTTAGAAGGGTTCAGATGTTTCTATGATTGGTTAGTAACACAAAAACACATGGGCATAATACCTCCAAAATTTCAGCCAGAGGAAAGTGTTTTTAATAAACTATTTTTGTACCAAATATTTTTGCTTGTTTAAATGATATTCTATGTTTTAGTGTTGGTACACATACTGGACTGTTATTTCCACTATACTGATATTTATTACACTTACAGCTTACAGGTGGACATTTGATGTCGTTCAAATCTATCGTCGTGAAAAAGGAGCCGTTAAGAGTTCCACGGCAGTGTTGGATCCTAGTCACAGACAGCACGAGTTCTAAGCTCACTTAGAACTCGTGCTGTCTGTGACTAAATGTCATTTTAACAGTCACTGCATCTTCATCATTGTATATGTAACAACAATAGAGAGATTGTAGGCTGTGCATGAGCATCTGACTTTATTAAGCATGTGACTGTCAACAGTGTACCCCCACCGTATTAAGAAAGATGGTACAAATATTAGGCCATTGATTGATATTCAACATTTTTTCCTGGATACACTAGTCAATTTAATAACAATAGTACTGATAGATGACTGATAGATTAAGATGACAGCAATATATTTGTCAACCACATGATGCATTTTTACAAATTCCAATTTTTAATTGCAAGAATTATTCTAACGATGCAGTGCGACGTGAATATGTCATGTGGCCCTGGCGAAGCATTATGGATTTGTTCACCCACTTAATGTGTTAAGATTAGTAGCCAATCAAAATATGTCATTTTGACTATAGTCGATTCCGATTGGCTCTCTGTATTACACGCCCGCCCATTCGATGCCTACAAATATAGTTGTCGCCACACTGTCGTCTCTACCTACCAAGCTTGTCTGGAACTTGTGCATCGCCTGAAACTACTGCGAAGATGGTTGTGAAAGCTGTGTGTGTGCTGAAAGGAGCAGGCGAGACCACTGGGACCATTTATTTTGAGCAGGAGGTAAGGCGTGCAACGTTACCTTCAGCCGAGGAACTATCTAACGTTAGTTAGCCGTTATATTTAAACTAACCGTTAGCGCGTCAATGCTATACAAGCTAACGTTAAATCCTCCCTTCACGAGTATAACGTTAGGTTTTGAATGGTTGACGGGAGCTAACTGGCTAACGTCACTTATTACGTTTTGAATGACCACGCATCGAAATTGGTCAGATGTAAGATTAGCAACCCACCGCCGACCAAAGTCCTAGCTCTCCAACGACGGGCACGGTTATTCAACGCAAACCAACGTTAGCCCGCACGGTGCGACGTCAAAGCCTTAAATAAGCGCTAAAGTGCGCAGGCAGACCGAGCGGCGTGTTACTTAACTAACCCTTTTTTAATTAAAAATAGGCTGACCCTGTGGACGTAAATGAGGATCCAACACTGCCGCAAAAGTGGTAACCTTTGCACGTTTTACGCCCTATTTTTTATTAATGATCAACAGCGCGTGCATTGAAACCGCCTGTTGCATAATTCGAGCGTGTGCGAGGTGTCAACCGCTAATCTTGCCGGTTTGACTCATTCATTACTATTTGTTTTTGCAGCCGTTCCGCTGAAAGGCTTTCATTTAAAAGTGGCACCAGCTTTTAAAACCAGCGCACAAACGCACTTGCCCACTAACGCGGTTGTTTTTCTGTTGTTTTTGCTGAGTCACTGCTATCCCTCGTTCTGGTTCCCTTTGCCTCCACTGCGTGGCCTTCTAGATGAGGTCAGCAGCAGGGAAACCCTTTGGATTGCTGATGGCTTTCAAATATCTAGTTGGTTTGTGGTCGTGCTGCCATAGTGTTGTATTATTGATCGGTCAGTCTTCGTGGATGCAGACTTTTTTTTTTTTTTTTTTTGTAGAGCCAATCAGATCTTTAACCAAGCGGTAATTTCAGCGTGCTGCCACTTGCACAGCTGACTGTCACCAGGCAGAACGCAGAAGACAAAGGCCAGATCAGTTTCTCCACCCTCAGACAAAACGTCCCTTTCACTCAGAGCTTAGTGTTTCACGGCATTTGTCTTTTTGATCCCAACACTTTTCACCCAACTTTCTATTGAGGCTTTTTTGAGAATTAAAGTGTGGATTTCTTGTTGACAAGAGACTCGTCAGTTTTAAATTTGCTTCAAAAATAAATATTTACCATTTAAAGCCTTAAAGATTTTTAATGTGTGTGTGTGTGTGTGTGTATATATTGTATTTTATGTTACCAAGTGACTGCAAAATTTGACGGAAACACTCCTAGCCAGCTGACTCTGACTGCTCTTTTGTCCTGATTGGTCAGAGCGATAAAGCGGCTGTGAAGCTGACTGGTGAAATCAAAGGCCTCACTCCTGGAGAGCATGGCTTCCATGTCCATGCTTTTGGAGACAATACAAACGGTAAGAATCTGTTGATGGTTGTGTAAAGCTGAAGTTTCTAAACCATCTGGACCTGCAAATGAATATTGCTGTAATTGACAGTTTTAGTAAACTTGTACTGCTAATCTTTTGTGATGAGTTTTATTTTATTCCTTGTTTCCAAGGGTGCATTAGTGCGGGCCCTCACTTCAATCCCCATAGCAAGACTCACGCAGGCCCTAATGATGAAATCAGGCATGTTGGCGACTTGGGAAATGTGACTGCTGGAGGAGATAATATTGCCAAGATAGACATCACAGACAAGGTGATCACCCTCACTGGCCAGCATTCCATCATTGGCAGAACCATGGTGGTGAGTAAAAGAGCATCATTGCAAATAGAAATTCTCATCTAGGCTTTAGTGATGCAAACAAACACTGCGTTTTGTGTCCTGTGTTTAGATCCACGAGAAAGCAGACGACCTGGGAAAAGGTGGCAACGAAGAGAGTCTAAAGACAGGCAACGCTGGTAGTCGTCTGGCGTGTGGAGTCATTGGCATCGCCCAGTAAACGTCTGGCACTAGAAACAACTTTTACCAAAAGCACTTACTGAGACAAACGTAGCTTCTCAATGTGGCAGTTTGTCCTCTTCGACCCGCTGTGGCTTTTTATAGAGTAGTTGAGCCTTGCATTACCATGTTTGTTCCTCATGACAATCTGTATGTATGGGTTTGTGTCTGCTGATTAGTTTTGGTCCCATTGACTTGGTAATAAACTGATCCAAACATTGATCAACGCTGTTGGTTCATCAGAATTGTGTGTCTATTGCCTCGGCCACTAGAGGGCATTGTTACTCTGCACAACTCAAACAAATCTTGATGCCTGTCTACACGTCATTGAAACACATTGTATCATTGCGATTCAACTATTGGGTATTTGTCATTGCAGGAGATGTAGCAATGCATGCCAGTGGCTGGACATGTCCACACGTCAATGCTGCACTCCGTGGTGGTATGGCCTTATTTACCATAACCATGATATTTAGAACTAAAATATTTATTTATTTATATGTCTAATGTTCCCTAAATCTGTCCCCTGCTCCATAAGAGTTTACCTTCACAATGATATTGTAGCGGCGGTGGATGTTCTTTGGTTTATTTGCAGCTATCTTTTGAATAGTAAACTACACTTTTGAATTTAGACTGTAATTTGCCAGCAAAGAGATAAACGTACGAGTTGAATTTGATAGCATAACAATTTTAAATTCTTTATAAATGTTATTGCGACTTCTGATACGACCGCCCTGCTGTTAAAATGATCGCATAGAGGTTTGATTATCCTGCGAAGCACAACTTTTGCACATATGCTATACATAACAAATCTAATATCTGTTGCACAGGCCACTGTAGCCACCCCGCTAAAAATGATCTTGAAATTAGATTCTTGGTCTTCATCCATGATATTGAACTGAACAGCTGTGCCCTGAACTGGCCAGCGCACACACACACACACACACGTATGTTTCCGCATCCCTTTCGACATGTAGCTGGCACACTGCACGTACAAATTGTGTGCTCTTAAAGCCTTTTTTCCTTTCATGGGAATGGCGGATGCTCCCATGTGAAGTGATTTGGCGCTCACTGCTCTTCTCCCCCCGAGGGAAATGAGGTCTTGGAGGTCCTTCAATGGAGTTAATGCCTCAGGGAATAATCCAGTGGCAAGCTGCAGAGTGCGTGTTGTCTAAATGAATTCATGACATCTTTACCGTAGGAAAAATAAATATATGTAGCCGGGTGTACGGGTCTCTTCCTCGGATTTCAGCTTTAGTAGATCAGCTTCTGCTCTTGAATTTGACCTTTGCGGTCAGTCAGCAGAATTGGTGGCAGTGCCAAATAAGAATTAGGGAACCGTAAGGCCTTATTTTATTGTTTGTCTGTCCGCCTCCCATCACCAGGGTCAATAGCCGTGGCAAATGCAATTGCAGTATCATTTTGATTTTCTGCAGCCTTTTTTTTAAACATCTTTTTTTATTCATCATGCTGTATTCGCCTGTATGCACTGAAGTCCATGAATGCTTTGTTCCTGGGCATCTGAAGTGATGCAGTTTCATACCGAGCGCCCCCGGTCAGCCAAAAACTGCACATACAAGGTGAAATAGCTGTATTAGTGTAGACGGATGCAGCCATCAGAGCGGAAAGACATACTGACTAAAAGCTGGTATAAATAGCCTGGGAGTGGAGGTGATGAATAATAGAGACTTACCGATGCTGCTGACAGTGAGGGAGAGCGACTGTGACAGCGGGACAATCCAACGAAGCTCCGTATGAATGAGAAAGAAGTTATTATCTAGCCAGCTCATTTAATTTATACTTTTGTACAGGGTCACATCGGAAGATTCGCATCATATTTAAGGACACTTTTTAATTGTTCATGAAAGCACACCAACAAAGCCAGCACCAAGTGTTTAAATTAATTTAAACGTATTAATTAGCTGACACAATACAGCCGTACTTGCATAAGAGCATAACTGTCACATAACGCAGAAGCATTTTTTTCCCTTCTAGTTTCTGTTTAAGGCACAGTTCTAGTGCGTGTTCTTCCCAAAAGCGATGATGAACCAGTCTTACAGGGCCCAGTCCTTTTGTTGATTACCTAACCGCTATATGCGTCATATTTAAAAGGTTTGGAACGTTTTCCGATGTCACCCGAGAGCGACACTGTTACGCTTTACGGTCACTGACCTTCTGGTGTTTGCTAAAAGATGACTTGCGTAGAAGTTGCATTATGTGGGGAAGTGTGCACCTTTCTGAGTCGCCCATTGGTAGTTGTCGGGGAGCATTTGCATGGTTGTGTTCTTTTATTTCCCATATGCATCCTGCTTTGCGCCCAAACCACCGCTCACAAGAACCAGTGCGATCACATTTCACGGGGAGGCTTCTTATCGTTAAGCCGCGGGGCAGCAGCAGTAGATGTATGGCCCACCAGCAGCCAACAGGCCATTACTTGTTTAACAGCTGCATGCTATACTTAATAACCACCCAAACTTCCAACTGTAAGTATTTTTCCACTTCACTGAGTAAAAAGGACTTGGAAAATGAAAAGCATGTATGGATTCCTCACCGATGTGATGGAGGAATAATGTCTGTCAGTTCAGGATTGTAATGAAGTGTCAGCCAGGAGGGTTGTAAACTAAACTTTGGATTATGGAAAAATATTTATTATCAGTTAAGCAATTCATCTATTAAGTAGAAAAGACTTAATGTTGGTCAATGGCCATTTTAAATAATTTATTTGACCAAAGCCAGAAGGAAACAATCTTCAATTGACTTTCATGAAATCATTTAAAATAATAGCCTAAAGAATCGGCCTGTTGCTACATGTCTTCTCTGTCTGTGTAGAACATTGAACTGAATACCACACAGATCAGAGAAAGATTCGGTGATGTGGTGTTTTGGCTGCTGGAGAAGCTCCAATGAAACATTGGTTTCTAATAAGATACAAATGGTAAACATAATATCCAGTGTTGTTGGGTGTCTCTATAGGGAACATCGATGTACAAAACTGTCGAGATAGTTGAGGTTAGTTATTGACCATGAATAATTGAAGTTAGAACAGGTCAACCGGCAGCACGTTTTGTGAGTGACCATGTAGAATAGACCTAGTTTTTGGAGCTTTACTGTTGAAGGTAATTATGGGTGTGTGCGCGCCTACGTCCCCTAATGACCAATTAGAATCACTGAAGAAATATAAGCTGATCATTAGTGTTTTTGTTTATAAAGTAGAAGGCCGTTCCTTTGTTTCCTGCTGCCTACCTACAATTGGTCCAGTTTTTCCGCATCCGAGAGCCACGTGTAAAAATAACCTGTTTTTATTTGTTTGCATCAAACAGAAAGGAGACGGTTGTGGACTAGTGCTCCAAGTCGAGCCTGAACGCTATGGAGGTGTTGGTGCTCGCTCCCCAGGGACCCTCTGTTCTCCGGAGGTTAGAGTTCACCTTCCAGTACATCCTTTACCACTGACATTGTGGGGATATTTTGGAGAGTGGGAGTCATAGGTCAGGGGTGAGATGCCATAAATGGTACTTGTCCTATGAGACATGGTTGGTTGGTAGACAGACTAATTACAAGGCCACCGTGACCTGACCTATGACCTCTGAGCTGTGTGTCATAGGATCCTGGGAGTGAACACCGCTAAAAATCCTTTCGCTCACATTTTACACATGAATATAACTTTACTAGCTGTATATCTTAATAGGAATAGTTTCAATATTAAGAAAGTAAGTAAGTGAAGACGGTGGAACGGGCAAGTGTTCAAGTGTTACACGGGGTGTAGAGCCCCCCCCCCCTTCCTCCCTCCACGCCCCCAATGTGAAATCCATGCTCAAACAGCAATCTGAGGGTCTGACCTTTGAACTCAGTGACCCGCTAACCATGCACGACCACAACTCTCACTTTTACTCAAGAGGATCCCACTGACTGTGGGACTTTCAACACAGTTTAGTAGATTTCTGCTTGAAGGAGAGTGTGGAGGCCGATGGCTTTGGATATTTGGCGGCTGAGCAGCTTGTCAGATGTTGACCTTGTGTGACATTCCAGAGGTCACTGGCGGGGAAATTGCATGTGCTGATCACAGACGAGTGACAGTATAGTGAACCACTTGCAGACAAAGTCAAATTGAGGTACTATGTTTTTTATTTATGACTATTTTACACAATGTGCTTGTTATTAGCGGGGTAATTGATACTGCTCATTGTTAATGTTGGGTTTTGGATGTGACATGTCATAGAAATTACTAATACTAATATCATTTATAAAGCAAAGGGGCAAATAATTGCTATTTTCAGCTTCTTCAAATTTTAAAATTTAAGCTTTTCACTGTTGAAAATATATCTGAAATATTTTTTTCATTTCATATTACTTCAGATTTATCTTTTGAGGACCGGGATGTCCATTACAAGATTTTATGTCAATATTTGAGATTTAATGCTCAATAGTCTATGTGTTAGTTGCAGTTAAAACATTAAAGCTTCAAACATGTTAATATAGAGTAGTGTTTTAGACACATGTGTCTATAATATTTTCTAACATAAATGAATAAGTATATATATGTATACATAATGTATCGGAAATGATCAGATATTATATTATCCGTCCTATCCGATTATCTCTCCTCTCTGCATACATCCCCTGCAGACACACTCTGGATTCCATTATGTAAACACATTCACCGTCCAATTACTATCAGTGCAAATATTTAGGTAGTTGCCAAAAGAGGGAGTAGTGATTTAAAAAAGAAATAGTCAGTTTGTCGTTTTAATAAACCACAGACAGTAAGTTTGGCCCTATCTCTGTCTGCAAGGTGACCCCTTTGCTGCGGGCACGCCATGGAGTTTTCATGCTTTGGTGATTATTCTTTTTCGTACGTCCTTGTGTACACAGTACGTTTGGGAGTTTTCAATTTAAGACTGTGATATGTATGTGTGAGATGTGTTGCTCTGGTGTGAAGTGTTCTGCGGTTACAAGCGAAGCTCTCTCGCCGGCGGGGGGGGACTTGGGGAAAGGGATAAAGGGACGGATGGAAAGACTTTCAATGACCCTCTTGCTCATCTCTGAGAGAATAGAACTTCTGCTTTGTTCATGGCCACACTAGTGTAAACCTCCTCTCCATCGCTCTTTAGTACATTCTCTTTCATTCTCCTCTCCGCACATATCAGATTAAAGAGAGTCTGCTGACCCCCACAGTCGCTGAGATGAAAGAGGAAATTACTCTGCTAATATGCGCATATTTTGCA